AAATGTTTATTTTATATTACCTTTTCCTTGTTTCTAGGATAAGATATCCTCTCTAATCTCTCTGAGCATAATAATAGTAATGGTATTGTTACTGCTGCTGTTCACATAATATCTATTTTCTCTAAGTTAATCTTATTCATATACATTTGGATCTCTATTTTTCAGGTCCAAATTTTGCTTCAGATGTCCTTGACAAACTGGCTGTAATTAAGATGAAAGTCTAAAATGTTGATTGGACATGTTGAGCATGTGTGATTGAGGCTTGTCAACAGTGAGCTTCATTGTAGGGCTGTCTGGCAGGGCAGAGTTTGGAGGAATCATAACCTTAATATCTTGAGGTCTGTCCTCTTGGGACGATAGAATCCCCATCAAAGCTTTTTCCAATCTTCTTCCCAGGGGTAAAGATTACCAGCATTCTGAGAGCCAAGCTGGGGAAGAGGGCTGGGAATACTCAACATTCAGTGTACATACATTCTCCTTGATCTTCCTGTGAAGCTCCTCTGTATTCAACTCTGCAGGGTTTATTCTCTTTAGAGAATAAACTTTCAGTCTTTTGATGTGGTAGGTGAGACTCAGTTACCTAATAGTACACTGGGTACATTCTCTAGAAATGGAATTGCTTCTTAAACAGCTTTAGGTAATGCTTATTTAATCCCCTCCCCTTTACCTTTGCTTCCAGTTACTGAGTCTTTTAAAACATTGTGAAAAATGCAGATGCTCTCTGACTTACAATGGTTCAGTTTAATTACTTTTAAACTTAATAATGGTGCAAATGCAATATATTGAGTTCGCTCCTCAGAGTAAGAATGGGGTTACATCCAGATACCCATCATAAGTTGGTGGATGGATGCTCATCATAAGTTGAGAATATCCTAAATTGAAAATGCGCTTTCCACTTATAACATTGTTAACTTATGATAAGTTTATTGAGACATAGACATATTGTAAGTCAAGGAGCATTTGTATCAGCTTGATTTCTGGTTTAGAATTTGACTTTCTTATTTCTGTAATTCCAAACTTGACTATATGCTTCCCAGCTTCCAAAATTATATTGCTGCTGTCTCCTCTCCTGCTCCCTCTGTCATTATGGATATACAACTTTGAAAACAATTATTTTACTGTCATTTAAGATTAATTTTTGGATGAACGAAAGCAAATATGTGTGTTTCATCTATATCTTGAACCAGAGATCATTTACCTCACCTATGCAGTCTCACATGCATGATTTTAAAGTTCACTTCCAAATGTAAAGTTCCATAGTCTTGTTTCACAATAATAAAGTTTTTGAAGCCATTCTTTATACCGATGACACTATGTGGGTTTAATGTACAACCCCCAGGGTAGCCCCTACCCCATCAACTCCAGCGAATAATTATCTTGTTCAATATATGTGATTGTTGTAGAAGTTAAGAAAACCTCAATTTTTCCTTAATTTTAAATTCATGGTGGTATACATTTGTACCTAGTAGTACCCTAGTGATTACCTATATGTATTTTATATTAAATATAAAAGCTCCCAGCTCCACAAAATTAATAATGGTTAAATAATAGTCATCTATTGAGTACTTGCTATGGTCCAAGCCTAAAGTAAAACATATGATTTGTGAAATGCCACACTAAATATAAATCCTACAGCAATCCTGAGAAGCAGTGGCATAGATTTCTCTAAATGGATAATTATAATAACATTTTATAGCCAGGCATGAGGGCTTACACCTGTAATCCCAGCACTTTGGGAGGCCAAAGCGGGAGGATAATCTGAGGTCAGGAGTTCGAGACCAGCCTGGCCAACATGGCAGAACCCCACCTCTACTACTAAAAATACAAAAATTAGCTGGCTGTGGTGGCACATGCCTGTAATCTCGGCTACTAGAGAGGCTGAGGCAGGAGAATCCTGTGGAGGTTACAGGGAACCCGTGAGGCGGAGGTTACAGTAAGCAGAGATTATACCATTGCACGCCAGCCTGGGTGACAGAGTGAGAATCCATCTCAAAAAATAAATAAATAAATAAAATAACATTTGACTTTAATAATAGTTGAGTATCAGGACAATACATGTTTTATGATGTTCTTGACTTTAACAACTTGCTATCTTGCAATGTCTGTTAAATTCTCCTTTGAAATACTCACACAATTTCCTCCATTTCTCTTTTCTCCTGCCACCATCACTCTACTTTGGGCCACCACAAATTCTTCTGAATTAGAGAAACACTCTCCTTTTTCATCTCCTGCTGTTGGTAGTTACTATGCCTTGTAAAACTGCCACTTTCTTTCTAAAATCTAATTGGGCAATAACATTCTTCTAAACAAGATCTCTTAATTGCTCCCCAAGGCCCTCATGATCTGGCTTTGACTCCACTTTATCTCCCTTCACTCCCTCTCACCTTCACTAACAGTGCAATCCTATAATCCCAATAATCATGGTCCAAGGATGTTCATGCTTAGGGGAACACTATGATTCTATAATTAAGGTCAAACTGTCAGATTTATTAGTGTTCAACTTGTTTTAATGAGCAGTGCAAGAGAAATTAAAGTCTCAGCTAATGAGTAATGTTCTGTGAATGTGTGGTTGGCAGGTAACTGGAAGAAGAGAAAGGAAAAAGTCATGATTTCCACTGGCGTTCCTTTCCTATGCTGATGTCAAGTGTGGCTCTTATTAAAGCAGGGAGTGGTGACAGGAAGAAAAGAAGGCAGTGAATTGCTGCCAGGAGGCCAATTGGAAAAGTTAGAAAGGGATAAGGGGCCAACAGGGACACTCCTGGCTTTGAATGGTTTCTCCTACCTTGGGGAAACATGGCATCTCTCATGACATAACAAAACGTGGGGAGATTACTGCTGGCCCTCCAGAAGGAGTGCTGGCATAATTTGAGGAGATGAGTCTGTGAACAATCAGATGAACAGCACATGATATGCCTTTTATAGCTTCATAATTTGTGAATATTGCCAGTATAAAAACAAAGCAAAGAAAATTCATCAAAGAAGTCAGTTTTTAAACTTTGAATACAAATCTAAAACAGCTTTTCTGAGATTTGAGAGGGGCATGAATAAAATGTCCAATAAATCTTCACTAAGTCAGATGGGTTGGCATCCATTTTCTGAATCTGTTCATTAATGAGAAAAATAGTTTTATTTAACTGATAATAATAGTTCCTGGCCAAGCATTGTGGCTCACGCCTGTAATTCCAACACTTTGGGAGGCAGGTGGATCAGCTGAAGTCAGAACTTCGAGACCAGCCTGACTAACATAGCAAAACCCCGTCTCTACTAAAAATAAAAAATTAGCTAGGTGTGGTGGCATGTGCCTGTAGTCCCAGCTACTCGGGAGGCTGAGGTAGGAGAATTGCTTGAACCTAGGAGGTGGAAGTTGCAGTGAGCTGAGATCAAACCACTGCACTCCAGCCTGGGTGACAGAGTAAGACTCCATTTCAAAAAAAAAAAAAAAAAAAAAGTCCTACGATAAGCTTTAGAAAACACACGAAAAAATGAATTTACAATCAGGAACATATATTTTTATATATATAAAGTACTAAATACTTGATCGATAACTCTTTCATGAGAATCTTTTTCTTGCTAGATTCTGTGTTAAATAGTGAAGGTATCATTCTTACATTTAACTTACCTGCAGTTCTGAGAACATAACTGCACCTCCTCTATGGCTCTACCATGCCTCATCTTCACAATGCAAATGCACCTTATACATTTGATTGATGTTATAGAGTCAATATTTTAAAACAAATAGGAGTTCTCCTTACAGGGTACCAGAATGATTTCTGACATACAGTTTAGCATATTATGTATATAGTACATAATGGTTCATTTGAGGAATTTAGAGACAGTACTTTTACTATTTCCATTCATATGAAATTTTGAATTTAACCTTAAAAGTAAGGTGCAATGTCTTCACTATATTGTTAAGAGAGTCGGGAGGTAGAAAAGACGAGATGCTGAAGAAACATGGTTCCTTCCCTTAAGGAACACACAAAACTCTAATATTCAAGTGATTAACTGTACATGTCAAAATAAGCATTGGGGATGGTCAAGAAAATGGAGGTTCATGAGCACAGGAGTTGTCAGGAAAGGCTTTGTGAAAAAGGATGGACTGTGAATGATCAACAGCTTTATACTGTGCCCTGCCCGCTAATTGCAGATGGTATCTGGTTAAGCTGTTAGCACTGGGCCTGATCTGGCAGAGCTACCTCCTGTGTATATTCAGATTGCAGAGCCCTTGGCTAAACTGAGATCTGTTTACCAGAAGGGCAGAGAGCTAGAGGAGATGATTATAGAGACGAGGCCATAAAGAAAGAATCCAGGATTAGATCATCACTCAGGAAATCTGACTCAAAGTGCTGAAGCAGGTAGAACTTTAGAGAAATAAAAAATGGGTCAAAACAGAGCAAAAAGACAGCAGTGAGATACAAGGAGATCAACCCTTGGTTTAAATAGATTTCTGGAAGTAAAAATGTACTGCGGCAGTCCACTCATATGGTTTAGTATGCCTTTCTGGCCTAGGGCTAAGCCTTAAAAGTAATTTCAAGTGTACCAAGAAGAAAAGAGATGCAGGCAAACAGAAATCTTGACTCCTACAGATGCAAAAATGGCCTTGGCATAATCTAAGGAGAGGGCCCTTGGCACATGATAATATTATAGGGTAGATATGTGGTGCCAGATCCAGTGAGACTATGTGGAGCAGAAGTAGAAATATTGTTAGAGCAAAAGGGCTACGCCAGGTGGCAGAGGTTTTGAAAGCCAGGCAAGCGAGTTTGGCTGAGATATGGTAAGAGAGGTTTAAGTTGGCTAAAAATATTCTTTTTGTCACATTCTCCTAAAAGACAATCCAAATGTAACTTGGCCAGACCAAAAGGTCACAAATAATAATAGCAAAGGTCCAACTTTGACCTTATTATAATTAAATATATATTTATGTATATCATATTATTTACATTTCTGTAATATATACAGTCATTATAGAGAGTATATTGTTCTCTAACTCTCATTTTTAGCTCCATGGAATAACATTTCTAACTAGAAACTATTGTCTGACAGAACTGTATCTAAACAACAATGCAGTATTTGAGATAGAAGGTATGTCTTAAATTTTCTGTTGATTTAATAGATTTTCTACTAAGTAATAACTTTTAACTATGGTAATTGCTAATGACATACAAAAATCTGTTTTAACATTTCTCTTGAAATATATTATAAAATCTATTTCTCAAATGTTTTAATGTACATTTTTTTCAAGAAATGTGCTATTAGATTACTTTTCTAATTTAATATTGCTATATGTCTCATTCAAAATGTAAAATAACTCTTAACAGGTATTTCAGATATAAACTAGACATATGGAAGCAAATTTTAACAATAGTTGGGAGCATTAATAAATACAAACCTTCTAAATTGTCTTAAAAATTTTTATTGGCTATTGTTTTACCAAATTCTTGCTTTCACGCTGAGTTAATTTTATATGTAACACACTCTCAAAATTGATCATTTCAAGCCAGTTATAAAAGCATGTAGCACACTATGATCATGAAATACAGAGGCACAGTACAAACTACTTTTCTTTAATAGCATATCATAGAATCAAAATGTCATAAATTTTAAGGCCCATCATGATTTCATGCACCACTAAGAAAGAACATCTTGCCAATGAAGCTATGACATGGCTATCAAAAAGACACATCCCATTTTCATTTATGTTAAAAATGTGGGAAAATATACAATTTAGAATCAATGAAAATGATATGAATATTTGGCTTCCAGTTATGTACAAAAAATACTTTGCTAAGCAATATGGAGGAAAATTTTCCCTTGACTGGCATTATAAATCTAAATAAGATTGACAAGAAAAAAAATCTCAAAACCAAACAAAAAGAAGAAAGAAAATAACCCCTCCAAAATCAATCAAACAAACAAAATCATTGCTATGTTTTAAAAAGTAAAACAATAACAGTGGAAAGAAATTTACTCTATATTCCCACTTTGCAATTAATTACATGACTTATACCTTACTGTATTCTTCATAATAATTTATAATATCTTACTAGTTTTTATTCATTTTTTAACCAGCAATCATGTTTTCCTTTTTAGTTAGCATGTTAATTAGCATTTAAAATGTTTATTTTTATTTGCAGTAAAAAAAAAAATTGAAATAGTGTTTAAAATCTTGTAAAAAATTTTGTTTGTTTTTTTTTTTTAGGCCTGCATTATTTGCCTTCATTGCATATACTCCTGCTACACCACAATGAGTTAACCAACCTTGATGCGACAGTGAAGGAATTAAAGGGAATGCTAAATCTGAAGATCCTAAGTAACAATTTGCACTTTTATATGGCCATAAATTAAAGTAGTATTAACATAAGACATTTTTTTCCATTTATCAAGTTTAAAATTAGAGGAGCAATGTTTACAATTAAGATATTTAGGCCAGGCACTGTGACTCACACCTGTAATCCCATCTCTTTGTCAGGCCAAGGTGGCCTGATCACTTGAGCCCAGGAGTTCAACATCAGCCCGAGTAACATGGCAAAACTCTGTCTCTACCAAAATACCAAAATTAGCCAGGCATGGTGGCACATGCCTGTAATCGCAGCTACTCAGGAGGCTAAGGCAGGAGGATCACTTGAACCCAGGAGGCAGAGATTGCAGTAGCAGAGATCACGCCACTGCATTCCAGTCTGGGCAACAGAGTGAGACCCTGTCTCAAAAAAAAAAAATTAAGATATTCCTGAAAATAAGACTAGATCTTACCGTCTTTTAAGACATGGTTTTGAAAAAACACAGGTAGAAAAATTTGTGTGTGTGAAATGCTATCTATCACATGTCTAATGAAAACAACAAAAGTAACAAAAGCATTTACATGTTTAAATTTGTTTTTGGTTTTATCTCAAAAGGAAGTTTTAACACATATTATATGAATCCATTAATATAAGTGCTTAAGTAGGCACATCTATAGAGCCAGCAACACTGAGAGATAACTGTTTTTAAATAGATGAGTGTTGCCTAGGGCCAAGGTATTAGGGTTTGTAAAAGCTAGAGGGTAAGGAGGGTGGGGTTATTTTCGGGGTGATAAAATGTACTAAAATTGACTGTGGTGATAAGTTGCATAACTGTGAGTCTACCACAAACACGTGAATTGTATGTTTAAAATGGGTGAATTGTGTAGTACAGGAAGTATATTAATTAAGCTGATACCAAAAAAATAAAGAAATACAAACCAAAAGACTTTTTAAACTTTCAACTGGGCAACCAGCAAACTTTATTCATATATATTGAATCACACCCAGTAAGGAACTGACCTATTGGAAAGCATTGTGAAATGAATTAAAAAAAACATAATAGCCAGACACGGTGGCTCACACCTGTAATCCTAGCACTTTGAGAGTCTGATGCAGGTGGATCACAAGGTCAGGAGTTCAAGACCAGCCTGGCCAACATGGTGAAACCCCATCTCTACTAAATATATAAAAATTAGCCAGGTGTGGTCTACTCGGGAAGCTGAGGCAGGAGAATCATTAGAACCCAGGAGGTGGAGGTTGCAGTGAACTGAGATTGCACCATTGCACTCCACCCTGGGCGACAGAGAGAGACTATCTCAAAAATAATAATAATAATAATAATAATAATAATATACCACTCCTACTCTCAAAAAACTTATGATCTTGAAGGGTAAATAAACATGTATACAACCACAAAACAATATAAAGGATTCTGGGTACTAAAGGTGAAAGACCTGCAGATCAATGAGTAGGATTTCAGACTTTAGAGTTTAGAGACCTCATTATATAATGTAATGCAATAGATTTTTTAAAAAATTCCTTTTCTATTTATTTCTCAGATTTGCCTGAGACAGTGAATAATTGTAAACTACTATTGATAGTGAAGGTTCTAATCAGATCAATATAGAGAGTTACTAAGGTTTCCATATATTTTCAGTATTACCAGTTATGTATTTTTAGTGTTATCAGTTTTATATCGGTTTCCACATATTTTCAGTGTTATCTACTGTAATGAGGGAAAATGATTCATTTGTTATAGTTAGATTCTTTAAACCCAATTGTTAAAATCACAAAATTACACCAAGTTCATGGCAATTTTAAGCTTATTTTAGAGACAAGATAAGACTGCCTGCTGTCAGGAGGTTTTCACAGGTTTTGGATCTTCTGTGAGAGAATTGGCCCGCATATTTGAGTTACCTGGCCCTTGTCTGCTGAAAAAATGCTGCTATAATTAAAAGTCTAGTCACGTTAGACCTAGATCTCTTACCTTTGTTTTTCTATAAAATGAGCTGACAGCTACCTCTCAGGATTCCTCCAAACATGAAGATAACTCTGTAAACACTTTTTAAGAAAACATTTCTCATCATTAATGTTATTTTGAAGCAACAACAAAAATTGAAATTTAAAAAAAAGAAAAAAATTGTTTTGTTGTGAATTATGTAAATCAGATAATGAAATAAGTTGTATTCAGTCTTGAAATTCTCAAGAAAACATAACTGATAATTTAAATAATAATCATATAGTGACATGTTTGAATGTCTTTCCTGTTGAAACAAATGTTTTATTATATTCTCATTTAAATCTTTATAGCATTCTATGACATGATTAGAATTATGCCCTCTTCAATCATGGAAATGCAAAGTTCAGAGATTTAACCAAACTCTTAAGGAATGGTGAAACATTAACTCATGCCTTATTTCACTTATCGTTTATTCATTCATTCCATTCATTCAAGAAATATTTATAATTCATTCATTCATTTAATAAATGTTTATCACACATTCACTATATGAGGCTATACTAGAAATAGGACTCAAAGTTGAGCAAGAAAGACCCAGTCTATACCTATATAGGGTTTACAAATTTATAACTTTCAGCCTAAATATTTCTTAGAGAGTTGAAGGAGTTTGATGAAAAATGATTTCATATGCTAGTTCCTAAATTCGATAATTTAAGCAAATTTGTTATAAAGCAACATTTGGAGAGTAGTAAACAAGCTTGCTCCCATAGTAATAAGCAGGGTTATGCCCATAGTAATAAACAGGGTTATGCCCTAAACAAAGGTGCCCAGCCCAGGACCAAATGGATCCTGAAATCCAGCCCATTCCCTACTTGTCAAGGGTGTATGTGAGCACATTGTGCCAAGCATGAGGGGTGGGAGTGGATTTTTCTAGTTTGTAAATACCAGCCTGGTAGTATAATGTCCATATCATTACCTGTCACAACAGTTTATGACCACTACTTAAAATCATAGTGACATAATTCAAGTTATATAACTATAATTTTCCAGTTGAGAATCTTGTTGTGGGGTCATTTGTTTGAAATGGAGAAAATTCTATGTCAAATTACAAAAAACAAAAAGCATTTTCTGAAGGTTCACATTTTGAACACATGTCCCATTTTGGTTAAAGATATTGTATGAAAAATAGTTTGTATTTATTAGACAACTAATGTTATTTGTGCAGTCATGTTCTCAGATTGACTTTCTATGAGCCTCATTTGCAATCATAGATTAGTGTCAGCTCATTAACTAATATGAGAAATTCATGTATTTTAGATTGTTGTCATTTTTTTCTTTTTAGGTTGTAAATTCATATGAAAATATAAAGTGTTGTTATTAATCCTCTTAAATTACAAGTTCTTCAGAGGGTGAGAAAATAGCCTGAAGGATAAAATGCTAATCCATTCTCAGCATTGCACCCTCCATTGGCATTTATGAGGAGAATTGCCAAGGATTGCCTAAGAGACTCATGGCTGAGAGCTTTAGGGAGGCCTAAACCAGCTGCAGAGTGTGAGGTCCTGGGAACTGGAATTCCTGTCTTCCGGGGCAGAGTCAGGGTGCCCCACCTCTTGTCTCCAGGTGGTCTACCTTTCCACACCCTCCCTTTCCAGCTCTGTTTTCCTTGTCTCTTCCCTCCTCCAAACACTTTCTAAATCAGAATCCACATATGTCAAAGACCCACTTGGTGGCTAAAGGCTTTCATTAACTCCTCCCCCATTTCCAGCACTAAGGGGAAAAAACCACCACCACCAAAACCCACAGCAACAAAATGCTTAATCCATTCTCCTGTTCTAAACCTTCAGTTTCCTCATTTTTCACTAATTTTGTTTTATTATGCTCCGCTGTTGGAAAGTATGCATAAGACTCCTGCATGCCATAATTGTTAAGACCTGCTTCCTACCAGAGCTTCCAGGAATCAGCATTGGGAACAGGGAGGTCCTCCTTTCGAGAGAGGATCTCCATGTTTCCACAGGTATTGCTTTCAAACGTTGTCTGCCTTTCTCTTTAGCAGTGGCCCCAATCCACTGCCAATGGCAAAAGTCACACACAGTAAGTGTAGGGGGATGCTGGGAGATGGGGTGGGACTAGGATCTTCAGTGTCTCTTCCTTTGAGCCTCTCCTATAATGCTCTTCCAGGTGGGACCACCTCTCCCAAAAGACAAAACAATCCACCAAAGAAAAAGAACCAAAAGTGTTTTTCACCCCTGTTTGTCCTGAAAAAGAGGATGTTCTGATCTCTCCTCTATTGATCCTCTGCTTTATCCCAGTTTGCCTTTTACAATCAGGGGTGATTTCCATATTCAGTAAAAAGCACATGATGTGTGGTGGCCCCCAGATTTTTAGTAAAAACAAGATGATAATTAACAATGGAGATGCTGACCTTACTACGTAACCTTGACCCAGAGCCTCACAATCCTGGCATCTCATTATTGACAGCTGCACTTTCTTCCACAGGCTGTTCTCTATAGGCTTTTAACATTCTCCATATCATTTTCATTTCCCCATATAAAATTGGGATGTTGGTCCCTTATTAGTCATGTCAACTTTCTTCAAAGGCAGTCTTAAAAGCATGGGGGTTCATTTACATAACAATTTTTAATTCTGCTTTAAAAGTTTACAAAAAAATAACTGGAGCCAGTTATTTAGATGTCTTTTTTTCCCCTCTTCTGTCTCAATAATAAGTAGCTTCATCCACATGACTCACGTAAGTCAAGCTTGTGTGGTAAGGTAGTAGAGACATTTCGGTATATCATTGTGTAAATGTAAATTGCTTAGACGCAGAATCCCAAATGAAGATAAGCAAGACAGTGCTGGCGCCACTGAGGTGTACTCTGTAAGTAGCCTAGAGGGAAGGTGGATTAAATAGTATTAACCTATTGAAAGTGAAAGTGTAAGCAATTTCGCTTCATAGTTTCTAAAAGAATGTGCCCATACATCATAGAAGGCTTTCAGAACATTCAGACACAGGAAACCAATTTCACCTCTTAGACATTTAATTTATAGCGATTTTAGTAGCATCAAGCCAAAACTCGTAAATCCAAAATGTTAAATGTTTAATAGTATAGAAGGAAAAAAGAGTTAAAAATAAGATTGCTTCCTTCTAAAATTTAATATCTGGGAAACAGTGAATAATAATGATGAAATGCCTTTCAATTTATTTAATTCAATTTTTTAAAGTTAATTCAAGCAGAGGCTGGGCTAACAGCTCAGTGTTCTGATTTTGTGTCACTCAGTTTTTACTTTAGGATGAAATGAATGGTCAGCCACAAGTCAATAGAGTTTTTGGTATCAATATGTTGTTAATAAGTAATGGAACAGTAGTAAATCCAAGTTTGGTGTTTTATTTAGCTGAAGCTAGGTTTTGAATTTCCATATAGAAGTTACTTCACCAAGGATTAGCAGAAAAAGCCAAGCAATGAAATGAAATGGATAGTTATGTCCTCAGAGGGAAAAGAAGACGAAGGGTACACCTAGAGAAAACGTCATTGAAAGATGTTGGTACATTTTCCATTAACATCATATGTAAAGGCCTACTCTACTTCCAGATGCTATAATGTATAACAGGGTTATGAAGTGTCAGATGTCATTCCTCAAGACAGTAACCACAAACCAGACTTCTGTACTAAAGCATTCGTGATTTTCTCTTCCTCCTAAGTTCTCATTAAAAACAATTGTGCTTTGCTTTTATATCCTTGAAGGGTTTCCTTTGCTTTACTTTCTCTGGCTCAAACTACAATTCATGATCCCTGTGGCTCTTTTAAAATCTATCCTTATTACTGGTTTAATATACATGTGTTCTACTCCCTGTCCTGCAGTTATAATTATTTGTTACCACTTTAAAATTCTTCTCTTTTAAGAATAAAAATAAAATTCAGTCCATCTTCTGTCTCTTAAAAAATCTTGAAACAGAAAATTGTTTTGTCTTCTCATTTTCTCCATTACATACATATTTCCTTTCTTTTAAATTTCTTTGTGGCTCCTGGCTCTACATTTTCCTTTATGCCTTTCCTCCTATAACTTTAGTTTATTATGCACCAGGTGTCTTCCATTGCCTGCTTTATGTCCCTCTAAAGCTTGTGTTTTACACAGGGAATAGCTATATATAACGCTTTTATAGGCCAGAAAAAAATTGTGTGTATACAACAAATATCAGGATGTTTTATTACTACAGAAAAAACATCCAAATTATTGACTTTTTAAAGTTTTTTATCTAGTTTGCTATGCACCCACCCTAATCTTATTTGTTACAAACTGCTCTTTATAAATATTCATCATGGTTTTTTTTCTTAGCATTTCTAATGCTTACTATTTTCATGCCTTTATCAAGCCTCTTTGTATTTTATCAATAGTCTACAACAGTACTCTTAAATTTAGCAAGTACATTAAGCGGGCTTCATTTTGTTGAGGGAAGTAGTTGTGCAGCTGGAGCTCTTTCTATTACTGCCATCTAGTGGTTCTCCTTATTAGATGTATTTTCCCAAGTATTTCCTAGAAATTTTATGTGGGTTGACAGAATTCGAAAAACTAAAGACTCCTGGCTGGCCAGGCGCGTGGCTCACGCCTGTAATCCCCGCACTTTGGGAGGCCGAGGTTGCGGGAGGCGGGGTGGGGGGATGGGATCGCGAGGTCAGGTTTGGCCAGGCTGGTCAAAAGTTCAAGACCAGCGTGGCCTACGTAGGGAAACCCCGTCTCTACTAAAAATACAGAAATTTGTAGGGCGTGGTGCAGGCGACTGTAATCCCAGCTGCTCCAGAGACTAAGGCAGGAGAATAGCTTGAACCTGGGAAGTGGAGGTTGTGGTGAACTGAGATCATGCCATTGCACTCCAGCCTGGGCGACAAGAGCAAGACTCTGTCTCAAAAGAAAAAAAAAAAAAGATGCCCAACTGAAAAATTATAAAAGTTTTATTTCATGTTGTGTTAAAAAAAATGTTTATTATCATCTAGGATGAATAGGGAAAATATATTTTTTTGAAAAAAAAATAAAGCCGTTACAACTTCTAGTTGAAGATGTTTAAAAACATACCTATGTGCTGATCTCTAAGGGATATGATGTCAGAAGTGCCAGGGCTGCTTCTGCATCCACATACCTCCCTCTTCCAACCACTGCATTAGGAAGTGCGATTTATTGCAAAAGCTAGCGACTGCACACCAGGATCTCAGAGCTGCACGGGCCTGGACAGAGGTAGACAAGATACAAGAGCCACATCTGCTCAGCTCTGGTCCTGCTGAGCTCTGAAGCTACTACTGACCATTTTGAACTATGAGCAATGGTGTAGAAGAAGTAAATTCTATTAAAGCAGAGTGTTGTGTCTCTGCCTATCTTCACACATGCACCCTTGTAATCCTGAAGACTGAAAGAAGAGTACCAAGTGATATTTTAATAAAAAGTAGCCTCAAGACTCCAATAGAGAAGATATCTAGTTCTCCATTTACTAATTTACTTATGAACATGTTAAAATTTCCCTTATTTTTGGCAGATTTGGGTTAATGGTATGATCCTAGCCCTTAGCACAGTTCCTAGTAGATAGTAAGCAAACATTTGTTGAATACATGAATTTAACAGATAGAAAAATTAACTGCTGCTCTAAGTAAAGGTTTAATGGGTCTCTTGCTTGATATGAAGAAGAGCTTTACAAGTTCTTAGGTTTTATATGAATCTTGCAATTTCTTGTATTTTATAAGTGATAAATGAAACTAATTTTGAAATCTGACATCTTATTTTGGATTCTTCATTTGCAGGTCTATACCAAAACCCTTTGTGCCAATATAACCTGTATCGTTTATATACCATCTACCACCTTCCAGGAGTGGAGCTGCTTGACCGAAAACGTAAGGATCCTTCTTTCTTCCACAGAAATATTTGGGAAGCAGTCTTATACCTCAGTGGTTTAAAAATGAAGATTACCTTTGAAAAATATATCTTTGTAAAAAAAAAAAAACTTTGAATAATTACCTTTGTAAATGAAAGTTTTTCAATTATTTCTTTTTGAAAGATCTGCTCTCTGAAATTTGCCCTAATTTAGCAATTCATGTCTCTCTACTACTTTATTAGAAACGCCCTCTAACCGAGCATGAGGAAAGTGTTCCTTCTCATCCTGGTTTTGACATTAACCTGTCTGAAGCCAAATCATTTACCTCCTGGCACCCTAGTTTCTTATCTCAAAAGTGAGGGAATTGGAATAAATCTCATAACGCATATTTAAGTTCTAAAAGTCGTGCTTTTTAAAATTCTGTAAATATATATATTGAAACATATAATCAATGATGACTTCTTTATGAATACATCTTCAAGATAGCATGTCTGACTTCTGTAAGCCACATGTACACACACACAACCAACCTCAGCATATTACACTTAAACATTTTTTGAGACCTATTTTGCCAAGTGCTATATTATCTATCTACTTACCTTTCTGTCTCCACAGGTTTGAACATTCTTAGTTTATTCCTGAGTAACCAGTTTCTATGGGATACATCAGAAACTTATAATTATACCTCTTCTTTCTAATAGACTTGAGGAAATGAAAGGATGTATCATGCAAAAATTTTAATCATCCATAGTGATGTGTTAGTAGGTGTTTGGGACGCATTAGACTGAAGAATTAAGCTGTGCCTTGTGACATGTGGAGTGTATATTTCTTGTGAGGTTATGGAAATAACTGTGATAGTCCCTTTACAAAACAATTTTGACAGGATGTTCACCTATAACATAGTTCAGATAAACACATTCTGGAAAGTGTTCGTTCTATTTTGAATCACTCTGCCTATTTATAATGCTATGCAGTAATATTACTTTTTGCATTTATCAGAAGTTACAGAAAAAGAAAGAAGATCAATGATTACCATTTTTAACCATAAAAAGGCTCATGTTGTTCAATCAATAGCATTCGGAGGAAAAGTAGATGCTTCATGGGATCCTAAATCACCATTTAAGCAAAAACCAGCCCAGAGAGTACCTTCAGGTATTTTGCAAGAAAAAAAAAAAGTTACGAAATTTAAAACTCTTCAAACTTTTGGGTAATTTGATTATAATAATAACAACTACAATTTACAATAAAGTTAAGTATCTATATAATGGAATAATTTCTAATATATTTGCTAAATTTATAATACTTTTAGTCCAGTTAAAGTAGGTGTTTAATTTTCATCCTCACTCATGCATGTTAAATTAAATGAAGTGCTGTGATAATAATGAGATAATACATTGAAGCCTCTAGCCCATTATTTAACACAGTAAAAAGGGTTCAATATGTAAGCTATCATTATTTTTATTATGACTAACATGAATGATTTTACCAATTAAGGTTAAATAATTTTTGACAATATAGAAAAAATATGAAGAAGAAATAAAGATCATCTGCAATTCTGCCATCCAGAAATAAGTACTGGTAATATTTTGATTATGCTCACATACAGGGTCATTATATGCAAGTATAACTTGTATATTTTCAGGATGTTTCATTAGTAGGAATTTAATTTCTTATTTGTAACAGAAATGCAAAAAAAAATGGGGTTTAGTTTTCTCAGACAGCAAAGAATACACAAATAGGGTGTCTAGGGTTAGTGTAAAGTTCTATGATGTCATCTGTCTTTTGTTCTGCTTTATGATTGCAAAGTGGCTGGTATACCACCAAGCCTCACATCTTCATTCCAGGAAGGAAGAGAGGGTGGATGAATAAAAGATGCAAAGGCAAAATCCTTTTCTTTATGATACTTTGCCAAAGAGACAATATATCTTTTAAAAGAACCAAATCAATTATCTAGAAATAAAGGAGAAATTGAATTGAAAAATAGTTTGGAAGAAATTACCCAGAATGCTACATAGAGAATGAAAGTGATAGATATGAGTCAGATATTGAGAAAAGGAGAGACATTAGAAAGAGAGGGTCCAATAGAGTAGTAGTAATTCCTGAAAAACAAATTATAGAGAGAAATTGAACAGAAGATAATATTGAAGCTTTATTTAAGGACGTCTTCATTTGTCATTTCCAACTACAGTGTAAATTGGAAAATCAATGTATTGCAGAAGGACTTAAATGTTTCAGTAGCAGACATCATTACATTTCACTCCTGTCCTAAAAAAAGACATCAGAGAAAAATATCTCTTAAGATAATGAATTTATTTTGGAGTAAGCAAAAAGAATTATAACTCTGGATGTACAGGCAAGCCTCTGCAAGAGAGGAAGGGACTGGAAGGAAGGTTTTTATTTGGCAAAAAGTGGCTGGATGCAATGGCTCGCTCCTGTAATCCCAGCACTTTGGGAGGCCAAGGCGGACAGATCATCTGAGGTCAGGAGTTTGAGACCAGTCTGGACAACATGGCGAAAACCAGTCTCTACTAAAAATGCAAAAATTGTCCAGGTGTGGTGGTGGCACCTATAATTCCAGCTACTTGGGAGGCTGAGGCAGGAGAATTTGCACCTGGGAGGTGGAGGTTGCAGTGAGCTAACATCATGCCAATGTACTCCAGCCTGGGCAACAGAGCGAGACTCCATCTCAGAAAAAAAGAGTTCACATAAGCCTCTTGAAAGCACAGCTCATTGATTCCAGAGGCCCAAAGCCACAACTTCATTGGTGGAGATTCAGTTACTAGGCAAACGTTCTTTTCACAGGATCTTCTCTGAATTGTTGAGTCCTAAAGAATGTGTAGTGATAAACCTGGTCATATTAGTGTGTGCATACATGAGAAATGTAGGCCATGACAAACATGAGATGTGTGAAGGGCATGAAAGCATTTATTGTGGGGTTATTTTGGAATACCCTTGAGATAGGTCTTATCTCAGACATGCAAGCATAAGCTCTCCTCCTTGCCACCTCAAAACAAACAAATGAAAAACCACATACACATTGAAAAAGTTGTATACTATAAAGTAATAACAAAATTAGAATTTGGTTAACAAACAAATCTCTATGTATATGTGTGAGTACATGTGTGACATATAGGAAACATATGTATATGTGTGAGTACATGTGTGACATATGGAAACATACAAACAAAACTTTTAATAGTAATATTAACAGTAATAAGAGGAAGTGGAAAGGTTAAAGGAAAATTTTCCTTTTTACTCGTTATTTTGTTTATTGTTTATATTCATTAGAAGTAAAATATGTACTTTTTGTAATTAAAAATATAGAAAAGAACAGGAAAATTCTTTCATTTTCTGACAATATGGATGAAACTGGAGAGGATTATGCTAAGTGAAATAAGGCAGACACAGAAGAACAAATACTGCATGATCTCACTTATATATGGAATCTAAAATAGTCGAACTCATAAAAGCAGAGAGTAGAATGGTGGTTTCCAGGTGCTGTGGGAAAGGGGAAATGGGAGATGTTAATCAAAAGGTACAACGTTTAAATTGTGTTACACAAATGAATACATTCTGAAGATCTTATGTACTATGACTACAGTTAGCCATATTGTATACTTGAAATTTACTAAGAGGGTAGATCTTAAGTGTTCTCACCACGTACACACAAAAAATGGCAACTGTCTGGCTGATGAATATGTTAATTATATTGAGTGTGCTAATTATTTCACAATGATCACAATGAATATGTATATTAAATGTCAAGTTTTCAACCTTAAAGACATACAGTTTTTATTTGTCAGTTATACCTTAATAAAGCTGGGAGAAAAATGTAGAAAAGAAAGAAGCTATAATGATCAAAAACGCACTGAGAGACTTTTATCAGCCACTTGTGAAGGGAATAATGCCATGAATTCTAAGGTGGAGAGACTGTGTGCTTGCTGCTCCTTGTGGAATGGCAAAAGCTCATACTGTGGGCTTTACTGGTGCAACAGGTGCTGGTAAACTCCATCTCTGGACAGGCACTAGGCTTTCTGGAGAGAAATCAACAAAGCAATGACGGTATCTGGAAGACATCATAAGAAATCCGGGTTTTGAGGACTTATCTTGGAGTTTCACAGCTAGGAACATCTAGATTCTTGTAATCTAGTATTTGTTTATTCTGTTTCTTTGAAGTTAATGCCAAAAATCCAAATGGTTAAAATGTTCGTAAATATTTCTCCTCATTTGGACTTTTAGTCCTTTTACAGATGCATGTGCCTTTCAGAAGAAAAAGGATCGGTTTTTGCATATCAGCCTCAGTATCTTAAATATTAAAAATTCCCACTTGGATTCCATTGGTACATTATAAATTGACTAAGCTTTCTGTTCTAGGGTTTTGAGATTTGCATTGTATTAAAAAATTTGCCTCAAAACCTAAGGCAAAACCCAATATATCTAAGAGAAAGTTTCAGTTTGGAGATTGATAAAAGGGCATTTTTGACAGATTGAACTATTTGTGTAAAGGATAACTTGAAAACAGAATACTTTTCCTTTATAGCATTGTTCCATTGTTTTAAAATACTGGATAAATATTTTAAAATTCTAACTTTAAAATGTATTTTTTTTAGATTTTGCATTTGCAAATAATGTAGACAAGTAAGTAATTTTATCTATACTTTTATTATCATATTATTTCATAATTGTATTGTCCCTTTAAATCACCTCTATTTTCTAAAATGCATTTTAAAAATGACTCACTCTTCAATAGATGAGAAAAATTGCTAGGTCTTTCTGTGATACATGAGTTCAAGCTCTGTATTCATATTTGACATATTTAGACTATTAATATTACTATGGAAATCCCAAATAAGTAAAAAGATAATTTGATGCTTAAAAAAATAAAGCTTGGTCAGGTGCAGTGGCTCACACTTGTAATCCCTGTACTTTGTGTGGCCAAGGTGGGTGGATCACCTCAGGTTAGGATTCTGAGACCAGCCTGGCCAACATGGTGAAAACCTGTCTCCACTAAAAACAGAAAAAATTGGTCGGGCCTGGTGGCAGAGTCCTATAATCCCAGCTACTCGGGATGCTGAGGCAGGAGAATTGCTTGAACCTAGGAGGCAGATGTTGCAGTGAGCCTAGATTGTGCCACTGCACTCTAGCCTGGGCAACAGAGTGAGACTCCGTCTCAAAAAATAAAAAAATAAAAAATAAACCTTAACTATTAGCTATTCTGAAAGTCAGGTTTTACATCCCTTGTTTAGTTATTCTCTAAATATGTTAAGTCATAGTGATTATCATGTAGATTAACATTTTATACTCATTGGAATATACATTTCCAAAAGCAAGCACCTCACTATGGAAGACTTTTCAAATTGAGGAATACTGATGAATTTAAAGTCATCATTTTTTTTTATTTTTTCATTTTCTTTAGATACAGTATTGAATATTATCTCTATGTACATTTATAAAATATGGCATAATATAAAAAATAACAGCAATATAATGAATTTAATAATATGCATATATCAATAAATCTTTTAACCATCCCTTTTAACTTGGTTTTAAAACATTACTACAGGAGTATGTGAGACCTAAACTGTAATAGTTGATCCCCAAATATGTTCAGATACCTTATTTATAAAATAAACAATATATACTATAAAAAGTGCCACTTACTCTGAAAGTCATTTGTCAGTGGAGCCTGCAAATTATTTGTTAGTGGTACTATACTGAAAATAACACAGAAAAACATAGCATTAATTCATTTAAATAAAAATTTTACTTTGGTCAAATTTTCATTTTTGATTGATTTTTTTCTGACATAATTGCTATTTTTGCAGAACTGTGTTTGACGACCCAGAAGATGCTGTTTTTGTCAGGTCCATGAAGAGATCAGTGATGACTTTTTCCTGTATGAACTGGGACACAGTTCCAACACGAGAGGAAAGATACCTTGAAGAGGAAGGCCCAGAACCTGCTCAGATGCTCACAGTTACACTGAGATAAGCCCTGGTATTTCTAGAAATCTTAGTGGTTTTCAGTTGTATATTAAAGTTCCCTGTCACTTAGAATATTACATACTTACTATGATATTATTTGAGACATTTAAATGTAAACAGAAACACCAATGATGAAAAGTAATTCCTACATTTTAGGTTTTTAAATATAAAGTTGTTGAAGTAAAAATGTATACAGAAATGTATGTAATTCCTAAGTGTTCAGCTCAAGGAATTTTCAAAAATTGAACATGTTTATGTAACTACCATTCTAGATCAAGAAATAGAACATTATCAGGACTCTAAAAGCTCCCTTCTTCCTGTGTTAGTCACTACTCAGCCTTCCAAAGTAATCACTCTCCTGATTTCTAGACAATAAATTAATTACGTCTGATTGCAAAAGCCATATAAATGGCATCTTAGAAGTAAATATTTTGTATCTGGCTTCTTTCACTTGACGTTGTAAGATTCATCCCTGTCATTGCTAGTAGCAATGATTCTATCAGTCTTTTTATTTATTTATTTATTAAAAAAAATTTTTTTTGGAAGGGAGGAAGGGAGGAAGGCAGGAAGGGAGGAAAGGTGGAAAGGAGGGAGGAAGGAAGGGAGGGAGGAAGGGAGAGAAGGGAAGGAAGGAAATCAGGCAATGAGAGAGACATTGCCGACCTGGATCTAGAGGTCTACAAGTTGATTTCTTTTTTTCTTTTTTTGAGAGAAGGAAAGAAAAAAAGGAGTGAAGGAGAGGAAGAAAGAGGAAGAAGAAGAGGGAGAGAGAATGGAAATGTTGCTTTATTCTAAAAAAATGAGTATTAATAATGGCCAATCAATATTTCATTTAAACCTATGAGTAGGTGTGATGTGGTATTGACAAGAATGTATATTTTGTGTATTTAAAGTGGAGAGCTCTATAAATATTTATTAAGTTTACTTGTTCCAGATCTGAGTTCGAGTCCTTGATATCTTTATTAATTTTCTGTCTCATTGAGTCTAAGTCTCTATGTATCTGGGTGTTAGGATTGTTAGCTCTTGTTGCATTGATCCTTTTACCACTATATCTTTGTTGCTTTAAAATCTATTTTATCAGATATGAGAATTGCAACTCCTGCTTTTTATTTATTTGTTTATTTTTGCTCTCCATTTGGTTGGTAAATCTTTCTCCATCCCTTTGTTTTGAGTCTTTGTGTATCCTTGCATGTGAAACAGGTCTGGATGTAGCATACCGTTGGGTTTTGGCTGTGTCTTTTGATTGGGGGATTTAGTCGATTTAAATTTAGGATTACTGCCATTTGATGTTAACTGGCTATTTTATCCATTCGTTGATGTAAATTCTTCTTTATGTTGATGCTCTTGACTTTTTGGTATATTTTTAGAAAGGCTAATACTGGTTGTTTCTTTCTATGTGTAATGCTTCTTTCAGAAGCTCTTGTAAAGCAGGTCTGGTGGTAATAAAATCTCTGAGTACTTGCTTGTTCATAAAAGATTTTATTTGTCCTTCAGTTGTGAAGCTTAGTTTGGCTGGATATGAAATTCTGGGCTGAAAGTTCTGTTCTTTAAGGATGTTGAATATTGGCCCCCACTCTCTTCTGGCTTGTAGAGTTTCTGCTGAGAGATCTGCTGTAAGTCTGATAGGCTTGCCTTTGTGGGTAACCTGACCTTTCTCTCTGGCTGCCCTTAGTATTTTCTCCTTCGTTTCAACCCTGGTGAATCTAACGATTATGTGCCTTGGGGTTGCTCTTCTTGAGGAATATCTTTGTGGTGTTCTCTGTATTACCTGGGGTTGAATATTGTCCTGCTTTGCTAGTTTAGGAAAATTTTCCTGAATAATATCCTGAAGAATATTTTCCAGCTTGGATCCATTCTCTCTGTCACATAGTCCCACATTTCTTGGAGACTCTGTTCATTCCTTTTTATCCTTTTTTCTCTAATCTTTTCTTCTTGTTTAATTTCATTAAGTTGGACTTCGACCTCTGATATCCTTTCTTCTGCTTGAACAATTTGAGTGTTTAAACCTGTGCATACTTCTCAGAGTTCCTGTATTGCATTCTTCAGTTCCATTAATTCACTTATATTCCTCTCTAAGTTGTCTATTCTCATTAGGATTTTGTCAAACTTTTTTCAGAGTTCTTAGTTTCTTTACATTGGGCTACAACATGTTAACTCACAGAGGTTTCTTATTATCCATCTTCTGAAGCCTGATTCTGTTAATGGGATGCACTCATTCTCCATCAAGCCTTGTTCCCTTGTTGGTGAGGAACTGTGATCCTCTTTAGAGGGAGGGGCTTTCTGATTTTGAGTATTCTCAGCCTTTTTATGCTGGTTTCTTCCCATCATTGTAAATTTATCCACCTGTCATCGTTGTAATTACCAACTTTCCAATTAGGTCTCTGAGTGGACTTCCAAGTTGTTAATTCCCAGGGCTGAAATATGAGCAACCCATTGCACCAGCCAGAACAGCGGCATTAAGACTGATGGTGCTTTTCTGCCCGGGAATCTCCAGTCTGGCTTCCTTCTTGAGTCCGTAATAGGCGACTCTGCCTTCCCGGAGCTCCAAACGTTGGTCAGAAGGAGAACCAGTCCCGTTTACTCTGCACCAAGAGCTGCCGCGCCAAGGGGCCAGCAAAACCGCTGCGCCGGCCACAAGAGTCGTGCTGGCGACCCGTGCAGCTCCTCCACTGGGAATCTTCTGCTTCATGAGTGACCAAAATTTGTCTGAAAGTGTGGCGTCCTCTCGTTCTCTGAGCTTTCACTGGGAGCTGCAATCCCGAGATGTTAACGATCGGCCATCTTGGATCATTCCCGATTCTATCAGTCTTACTGCTATATAGTATATCATTGTAAGACTATGACACAATTAACTTATTTAGTGTACTATTTTTTACTCTCATCTCTGGAGATATTTGCCAGTTCTGGCTAATGACCTGGGTTTGGTGTAGCCAGAAACTTGCTCCTCAGGAGAAAAAAACAAAAAATCCAACACTTTCAGCAGTTGCCTAGTACTGAGTGATAAAAGTGGACATTGAAGGTAACTCAAATTCATTACTGGCTTTCCCTAAGGAGCTAGATAAAAAGCTTACAAAAAGCAGAGTGACATCTCCCTCTAGCTGATGGTGCTTGGGAAACACAGACACACTGTGGAAGTAGACTGGAATCAAAATAGGCAAGAGATGAAAGCCTAGAAGGAATAGTGGATTTACATTGAGAATCTACAGCCTTCATTCAACTGTGGGTACTTATCATAACGTGCACAGCCAGAGACTAAAAATTCAGATATGGTCCCTGGAAGAAGTTTGCAGCTAGAGTAAAGAAAAAGCAAAAGTTTGACCATTCATGTGGGTAAGTGGCTGATATCATGACAAAAGTGGTTGTATGTGGCTTCCAAGATTAGGTGATAGAAAGAATTGAGACATTCTCTTGCCTGGGTTTGGGCCATAATCCAAAAGACATAGTCTCAAAAATGTAATTCTGGAAAAATAAAAAAAAATTTTTAAATACATTTATTTACATTTTTAATACAGGATTTGTTTGAGAAACATTATATCTACAGAACATTTTATAGGCCACTTTATACAATAAAATAGACAATAATGACATACACATTTTTGCAAGCATAAGGACTCGGGTATACTAATGATGGTTGCACAAGTATAAAAGTTATGAGTAGATAGACCATATTCATAAAGAAATAGGTCAAAAAGCAAAATTTATAAATGCCTATCACCACGGCTAGTAATTCTGTGCACTTGGCTTTATCATTGCAGTCTTCCACACCACTGTGGAAGAATCATTTTGATCAGTCTCATTGAAAGACAACCTACAAAGAGAATAAAACACCTAGGAATACAACTAACAAGGAATGTAAGGGACCTCTTCAAGGAGAACTACAAATCACTGCTCAACAAAATAAGAGAGGACACAAACAGATGGAGAAACATTCTGTGCTCATGGTTAGGAAGAATCAATATCGTGAAAATGGTCATACTGCCCAAAGTAATTTACAGATTCCATGCTATCCCCATCAAGCTACCAATGACCTTCTTCACCGAACTGGAAAAAAACCACCTTAAACTTCATATGGAACCAAAAGAGAGCCTGCATAGCCAAGTCAATTCTAAACAAAAAGAACAAAGCCGGAGGCATCACACTACCAAACTTCAAATTATACTACAAGGCTACAGTAATCAAAACAGCATGGTACTGGTACCAAAACAGAGATATAGACCAATGGAACAGAACAGAGGCCTCAGAGGCAATGCAACATATCTACAACCATCTGGTCTTTGACAAACCTGACAAAAACAAGCAATGGGGAAAGGAGTCCCGGTTTAATAAATGGTGTTGGGAAAACTGGCTAGCCAAGTGCAGAAAGCAGAAACTGGACCCTTTCCTGACACCTTATACTAAAATTAACTCCAGATGGATTAAAGACTTAAACATAAGGCCTAACACCATAAAAACCCTAGAAGAAAATCTAGGCAAAACCATTCAGGACATAGGAGTAGGCAAGGACTTCATGAACAAAACACCAAAAGCATTGGCAGCAAAAGCCAAAATAGACAAATGGGACCTAATCAAACTCCACAGCTTCTGCACAGCAAAAGAAACAGTTATTAGAGTGAATCGGCAACCAACAGAATGGGAAAAAATTTTTTGCAGTCTACCCATCTGACAAACAGCTGATATACAGAATTTACAAAGAACTAAAACAAATTTACAAGAAAAAAAAACAAGCCCATTCAAAAGAGGGCAAAGGATATGAACAGACACTTTACAAAAGAAGACATACATGAGGCCAACAAACATATGAAAAAATGCTCATCATCACTGGTCATTAGTGAAATGCAAATCAAAACTACATTGAGATACCATTTCATGCCAGTTAGAATGGCGATCATTAAAAAATCTGGAGACAACAGATGCTGGAGAGGATGTGGAGAAATAGGAACACTTTTACACTGCTGGTGGGAGTGTAAATTAGTTCAACCATTGTGGAAGACAGTGTGGCAATTCCTCAAGGACCTAGAAATAGAAATTCCATTTGACCCAGCAATCCCATTACTGGGTATATATCCAAAGAACTATAAATTGTTCTACTATAAGGGCACATGCACACGAATGTTCGTTGCAGCACAGTTTACAATAGCAAAGACCCAGAACCAACCCAAATGCCCATTGATGATAGACTGGACAGGGAAAATGTGGCACATATATACCATGGAATATTATGCAGCCACCAAAAACAATGAGTTCATGTCCTTTGTAGGGACATGGATGAACCTGGAGACCATCATTCTCAGCAAACTGACACAAGAACAGAAAATCAAACACCGCATGTTCTCACTTACAGGTGGGTGTTGAACAATGAGAACACGTGGACACAGGGAGGGGAGCACTACACACTGGGGTCTGTTTGGGGGAAGTAGTGGAGGGACAGTGGGGGGGTGAGGAGTTGGGGAGAGATAGCACGGGGAGAAATGCCAGATATAGGTGAAGGGGAGGAAGGCAGCAAATCACACTGCCACGTGTGTACCTATGCAACAATCTTGCATGTTCTTCCAGGTACCCCCAAACCTAAAATGCAATAAAAAAAAATAAAATAAAGATAAATAAATAAATAAAAAGAAAGACAACCTAAGTCTTTCATTGAGACTGATCAAAAATGTCTCGAGATTTGTTTGAGAAATATTATATCTACAGAACACTGCCCAGTTGTGGGGGCTGCCCTACCTGATGCTAGATGGGACTGGGGGCTGCATGCTGGGACTCTGGCTGGCTCCCAGTAGGCATGGTAGCCAGCTATGGCTGGGGGCATGGAGCTGCATGGCATAGTGTGGGTAGGGCCTGGTGAACAGTGGCATAAAGGGCTTGGGGGGTGGGCCGCTCCGCAGAAGGGTACTGGGAATGAAGGAGGACACGATGGCCTGGGGATGGCTGCCCAGCATCAGCATGCGTGGGTTGCTCAGAAGCATGGGGGCAAATGCCAGCTGTGAGGGGTAGTGGGCCATGGGCTGCATCGTGGCAGGCTGGCCTGAGAACTGCGGAGGGTTGTAGGGGATGTAGGAAGAATAGGGCATGGCAGACACCAGAGGCAGGCCAGCAGCCACAGAGGCCTGCATCATTGGCATGGCTGAGGCTGGCTGGCATTGGTCTGAGCTCTGTGGAAGCAAGGAGCCTTTTGCTTCCCAGTACTTTCCCTGCTTCCTAGGCACTGAATTGGATGCAGGATACAAATATATCTGAGGTGCCCCATAGCCAGTCCTATATGGATCTGAGGTATGTAGGAGATGTACTAAAGACTGTATAACCTACTCTATCTTGCCGTCAGCACTGGGATGGAGGGAGTTGAATGAGTCTGGGGCCCTGGAGAAGTTGGGGTACTGGTGGATTTATTCACAGACAGCAGAGGCTTTGTGGGATTGAACTCCTTGGCACTGGGGTTCCATGTTTATTTCTTTACTTGTTCAGCAATAGGGCCCTCATCCTTGTCCTCTCCCTTGATGAGGTCCACCAGGGGTGCTGCCAGTTTGGCTTGGGCAAGGTGGTGAGGTCTGCTCTGACCCCTCAGTGCCTCCTGCTGGTGCCAGAAATGGTTTGTCCTCCTTATCTGATATAGATTCTCTCTTGAAGGAGACAGGGGACCCCATTGTCTCTGAAGTCAACAGACGATCAGCCTTCTCCTTTCCTTTGGCCTCTTCCTTTAAGATCCCAGGAGGAGGCCGGGCACGGTGGCTCATGCCTATAATCCCAGCACTTTGGGAGGCCAAGGCGGGTGGACCATGAGGTCAAGAGATCGAGACCATCCTGGTCAACAAGGTGAAACCCCGTCTCTACTAAAAATACAGAAATTAGCTGAGCATGGTGGCGTGCACCTGTAGTCCCAGCTACTCGGGAGGCTGAGGCAGAATTGCTTGAACCCAGGAGGTGGAGGTTGCGGTGAGCCGAGATTGTGCCATTGCACTCCAGCCTGGGTAACAACAGTGAAACTCTGTCTCAAAAAAAAAAAAAAAAAAAAAAATCCCAAGAGGAAAAGGATCCAGGCTATTCTCAGAGGAGCTGCTGGGCTGAAGCTTAAACTGGGCCCCAAACTTTCATTCTGAAGACCAGGGACTTTCTCAGCTATCCAGGCCAGCTCCTGCAGCTCCAGAGTTCTCCCAGGTTCCTTGGCAGAGAGTTCTTTTACACCTGTGGGGTCCAGAGAAATCTTTGGAGAAGCTGGGGAAATGGAGCCCACTCCAGAATCTGAGACTGATGAGGTCACAGGAAAAGAGGCTGAAGAGATTGGCACTGCCAAACCGATGGGAGGCTTCAGACAGGAAGCTGAGATTGGGGCAGGGGCAGCAGATTTGGGAGAATGTGGGGGATACATCTGGCCCACTGCAGGAGGAAGTGGAACAGAAGTTTCTCCAGAATGCCTATTATTGGGCGAAGACTAAGTCTCCGCACCTCTCAGAGGTTACTGTGCCTTTGGAGACATGCAGGAAGGGCCTCCATTGATACACAGGCCTCAGAACCTGGTCCAGGGCTGCTATTGTCCAGATGGGTGAGGGCCACAAAGTGGCGAAAAGCTAAGGACAGGCTGACTGCTCCAAGAGCTGCTGCATCAAACTCCTCCCCGGGGACCTTTCTGGACTCCTCAAGGCAGAGGGATACACATTCCCTCCCTGGATGCCAAGCTGGGGCTGTCCCACCGAGAGCCCTGCCGCTGGACCACACAGTGCTTCTCTTCAGTACGGTACTGGGAGTTTGATTCAATTTCTCAAGCCAGCTAGGCCGCACGCAGCTGTCACTTATGAAACTCTTTCAAGTTGTCCTTTTCTAAGAGCACCGTACAAAAAGAAAGACTGCTATCATAGGTGGTCTTCACACCGTAATTCTCCTCATTGAACTTGAACATTTCATTGGGGTCCCATACACTGAACATGTAGGACTCGAGGTCATAGTCGTCACTGCTGCTGTCACCACCCCCTCCCATCGCCGAAGCACCTTCTCTTTGTGTTCCCCATTCACTTTCGAGTTCTTGGCAATGGTTACATGGCTGAACTTGTCTTTGGTAGCGTAGCTGAAGTCAATGTTTCGGAAGAGAACGAGGATGACATCCCCTGGCTTCAACACCGTGGTGTCCACGATGTCCTCCCAACGACGGCCCCCTGCTGGCTCAGATGCTCTCTGCTGCACAGCATCCGCTGCTAGTTCAAACTTTGAGCTCAGCGTCTTGAAGATACCGTCAGAGTTGGCGCCATTTTTCACCTTTACATCACAAGTGGAGCCTCACAATGCTGCGAGGAAATGCAGCATTCTGGAATTGTTGTAGATGCCTTCAAACAAAGGTGACTATGGGGCGGGAGGGTCCCTTTCCTGTCCTCTGTCCCCTGGTGTTGCCGATGTTGGCAGCTCCCGGCCACTCCTGGTGCTGCGGCACCAAGAAGATGCCTTTGGGTTGGGAGGGCTGTTGTGGTGGCTGAAGCTTCAACATGATGGCAGCAGGAAGAGGAATTAGAGGGAAGGGAAGGAGAGAGGGAGCCGGGGCTGGAGCCCTGCAGGAGTGTGCGGGAAGCGAGAGGGATCCAGCAACCGGGCTGCCATTGGTGGGCAGGGGGAGCCCTGTGGTGTCAGGGATGGAGAGAGCCACAATTATTATTTATATTTTGAAGTGTTGATGCAGGATATTTTTGCTCCTTAGTTGAGCTAAATCCCGGTTCTTGTCTCACAACCAGGAAAAATTAGGCACGCAGACACGTTGAAAGGTGAGGAGGGCGGAATTTATTAAGTGAAAGGAAAGCTTTTGACAAAAAGAGGAGTCCTGCATGCAGATTTCCACCTCACAAATTGAATGCCAGAACACCACACGTGAGTTGAAGAGTCCCGGCTTCTCCCTGAGGTAAGCACGAATCCTGGTGGCTCCACCCCATTCCCCCAGTGCATTTGGGCCTCAGTCCCTTGCAGGCATGCCCAGGCAAGACCCTGTGCAGGTTCCCTTATTTGCACAAAAACATCTGGTATAAACACTTGTGGGGCGGGTAGGAGATTCTCCAGGGACCCTTCCTTATCTGCATAGGCATTTGTTGGCCTCTGTCATCTATCAGTATTGCATCTTGATGAATAGCTGCTTTTTTCTCTTAGGCGTGGCTCTCCTTGTAGAGTATGTTCCCATTCATTTCCTTCTCTCTCTTTTTTTATTTTTATATTTTTATATTTTAATATTTTCCATTTTACAGATGCTCATTTAACAACCAGATGCTACATTTGAAAGGAAAAGTTCCAAGGATTATCCCCCTCTGCCTTTCTTGTAAAGACAGATTTCTTCTACATAGAACAGCTATGTAGCAATAGCCAAAAAAAAAAAAAAAAAAAAAAAAAAAAAGGCCAGGAGACCAGCCTGAGCAAAAACATTGGAAAAATGAGCCCAGTCCTTTAAAAAAATAAAAAGAAAAATCCAGGCGCAGTGGGGGGCCCAGGCTTCACACCCAGCCCAACTCAGTGAAGCCACATCATTGTCTGGGGCAAATACCTGGAGTTCATTGTTTCACCAAGGAAATCGAGTATAGGGACACAAGAAGTGGTTTAGGAGTAGAGGTTTAATAGGCAGCAGAAAGAGAAAGGAGAACAGCTCTCTCTCTCTTGCAAATGAGGGGGTTTCAGAATGGGACTTCCAGACCACAGCAAAGCGCATCGGATTTTATAGACGGGCTTGAGGAGGCGGTGCCTGATTTACATAGGGCCTACAGACTCATTGAACCAAGTGCGATATTTACATAGTGCTCTGGGAAGCTGGCTGCCCTACTCTAATCTTATTATGCAAATGAACTTTCCCCTTGGCCGCTCCATGTTGTCTTTTCCCTACTGTACAAGCGATTAGAAAGGAAAAGGGAAGATGGAGTCACCATTTGAACATTCCTAGTCCCAGGTGGCCTTTTCCTGTTGGCACAGCTGCTGGCATTCAACCCTACAAGCTTCTAGCTTGCTTGTCTATGTCTGCAGCTCGATTTTACTGGCTGCTCTTTGTTAGAAAAGAGAATAATTTGGGGGCGATTTTCATTAGAAGGAAAACATTACCGAGGACTTCCTTATGCTCACTATCTGTCTAAATAATTTCTTCTAACCTCATGTATTATTGGGAACCTCATATATTATTGGGCAGGAAGTCTGAGGATGTAGTGAGGTAGGATCATTCCCACTACACTGCAGTTTTGGTGACAGAATGAGACCTTATCTCAACAACAAACTTTGGTTTGTGTCATTTGAGATGCAAAAAGAAAGAAAGAGAGAGAGAAAGAGAGAGAGAGAGAGAGAGCATCGAATAAAATGTTAAAATTCTCCAATGATGCAGCTATGAGAAACAATGATTTTCTGGCTTTTAAAGCAACATGGATGGAGCTGGAGGCCGTTATACTTAATGAACTAACTTCAAAGCAGAAAAGCAAATCTTGCACTTTCTCAGTTGTAAGTGGGAGCAAAACAGTACGTACACATGGTCATAAAGATGGAAATAATAGACACTCAGGGATTCTGGAAGGGAGGAGAGTGGGAAGGGGCAAGGGATGAAAAAATTACCCGTGGGATACAATGTTCATTATGTAGGTATTAGGTACACTGGAAACCCACTTCCCACCAGAGTTCAGTACGCTCATTTAAGAAACAAGCACATGTACCTGAATATTAAAAAAAAAATCAGACCAATTGCTGTATGTAAGCAGCAAATGCAAATCAAGGCCCTTTCAAAAAAGGCACATAGAATAAGGAAAAAGACTTATTGATCCCTTGTGATTGATCGAGACTATACAGCTAGATTGATCTCTAGGATTGATTCTAGGACTAGAAAAATCTTCAGTGCACAAACTTAAATACAGCAATGCTTTTATAGTATTTAAATTCACCAGAGATTAGGAGCACTTCACTCAATGGGGCTTGTACCACTAGAAAAGAAAGGCAGGTTCGTGAGATTGATCTGTCTCAAAATTTTTGTTTTCAATCCTTGAATTATCACTATGCATCTGGACTGAAACATGGACTGGAAGGAATCAATACATAAAAAATATGACCAAGCCAGGCATGGTGGCTCATGCCTGTAATCCCAGAAGTTTGGGAGACCAAGGTGGGAGGATTGTTTGAGCCTAGGACCTGGAGCCTGGGTAACAGAGTGAGACCCTAGTCAAAAATAAATTAATTAATAAATAACAATAATAACAACAACAACAAAAAAAAACAATGACAATAAACAAGTGGAAGTGAACAAAAGTAAAAGGTAATTAAGATCACAATTAATTGTTCTGTCTGTCTGTCTGTCTCTCTCTGCCTCTGAGACAGGCTCTCCCTTTGTCACTCATGCTGGAGGGCAATGGCAAAATCACAGCTCATTGCAGTCTTGACCTTCCTGGCTCAAGTGATCCCTGTAGTCCCAGCTACTTGGGAGACTGAGATAGAAGAATCACCTGAGCCCAGGGAGGTCGAGGCTGCAATGAATCGTGATCATGCACCTGCCCCCAATTCATTTTCAATGTGGTGCTGCTCTTTCTGAAATGCTTCTATGATTCAATAGACATTCACATGAGCATTCCCTTTTAAATTTTCCCATCTTCTGTACCATGTTTCTGTGTTGTCTGGGGTGCTCAGAATCTGTTCTGTATGCGCTTATAGACCACTAATTTGGCAGAAATAATATTGGTGATGGAACAGGAAAACTGTTGGGTAAGTGTTTTCCTGTCCTACTGTGCACATAATTATTTTTAAACAAGTCAGTAATTTTACTGGCTTCTCCAGGCAAATGCAGAGAAAGCTATTAAAGGCTCCTGGAATTTCACAGCTGGAAAGAATGCCAATGCAGACAAATTTTTAAACTCAAGTTTTTGTCGTTGCTGTATTATGCGACCAATCCACTCATCTAATTTTTTCTTCTTTGCCAAAAGCGTCCGACTGATTGGGAAAAACAATCTTTATTGATAACTTCTTGAAATTCACTTTTAAAAGGCTTGTTCATACCTAATTCTGAATCTGTCATTATGGTTTGGGAGTTTAATTGGAATCCTTTTTTTTTTTTTTCCTGGAAACTCTACCAAATCTTCAAATAAGCATTTATAAAGTGCTTCACTTTTTCCAGTCATAAATACATAAATAAATGGATAATTTCTGTAATTTTCAGATCCAGTAGGGCCATGAATAGTACCTAGTTGATTAAAACACAGTGGGGACAGTTTTGAATGTGCCATCTGACAACTTACAGGTCACATTTGGCAGGTTTCCAAATTAACTGCCTGGGGAAAGTCGTGATTCACAGCTTACTTCCTGTACTGGAGTAAAGAATTGTATTGTTAGTCCTTCAAATCTTATTGTGAGTTACTCAAACTGTTGTTTACTGATTAATACATGACTTATATTGAAAAGGACACTGGTTTGTTTCTAAATCATAAAGTTTTGCTGATTTGTTTCTGAATCATGGAGTTGTATTGATTGTCTTGCACCTAGAACGTTTCAGCCTGTATGTTGATATCTGTAGCCAATGACGGTAACCTCTGTATTGTACTCTCCAAAGACAAAGGCCAAGTCCAATATGAGAATTCCCTATCGCTTCTCCTAAACTTCCTTATGAAAAAGCATTCCAACTTGTAACAGACTTTGGAGCATGCTCAACTTTGTTGGGTCTTCCATGTCCATCCTCACATTCAGCTTCCAATAAATTTTTATCAAATTATTTCTGCCTCAACAGGCTTAATTTTGGTCAACACAGTCATGAGCCAAAGTGAAGCATGTGCTAGTTTTTCTATGTTACATTTTCAGTAGAAAAAGTCTATCTTCTTCAATAGTCAAATCCCTAACCAAGAATAGGTCACTGTTTAATTTTTTGTAACACTGGAGGAATCTCAAAATCAGCAAACGTCTTTGGTTCAGAAGGTCTCTGAACTTGAATTCTTTTTATCTCTCATGCATTTTTTAAAAAGGCAAGCATGACGTTATGTGTGAAGGGGCAGGAGTAGTACACAACTGAATAATCTGGCAGGAGAGATTTCTTTCTTTTTCCTTTCTTTCTTTTTCTTTATTTCTTCTTTCTCTTTCTTTCTTTCTTTCTTTTCTCTCTCTCTTTCTTTCTTTTTTTGAGATGAAGTCTTGCTCTGCTGTCCAGGCTGGAGTACAGTGGCCTGATGTCAGCTCACTGCAACCTCTGCCTTCATGGGTTCAAGTAATTCTCTTGCCTCAGCCTTCCAAGAAGCTAGGATTACAGGCACGTCCCACCACATCTGGCTACTTTTTACATTTTTAGTAGAGATGGGGTTTCACCATGTTGGCCAGGCTGGTATCGCTCTCCTTACCTCAAGTGAGCTGTCCGCCTTGGTCTCCCAAAGTGTTGGGATTACAGGTGTGAGCCATGTCACCCGGCCTCTTATATTTTTTGCTTGCATTTTCATTTCTTTGATGGTCTTTGAAAAACTAGAAACAATAAAGGCAGCTCTTCCCCACGCAATCCACTCAGACTCAGACACTAATCTCCTCTGGAAATACACAGACATACTGAAAATAATGCTTTACAGGGTCCCTAGGCATTCCTTAATCCAGTTAAATTGACACTTAAGATTAAGTCCACAAGTCTACCCCTTGTCAGCTTGGCATCATGTGCATCTCCTTAAACCACACTTTGTTTCCAAATAAGGAAAAGGACAAGGTACTAGTTGTGCCTACTATGCCGCAACTATCCTGTGTACAACTGTAAATGCACGAATTGTGATTTGGGGAATTTTAGATGTTAGGAATTTTAACCTTTAGGGATTTTGATCTTAGAAGTAATAACATCTGTGAATTTGGCATTTGGGATTGCATCTTTTGGAATTATGGTTGGCACTGCTCTTACTCTCTGTCTCCTGGATCATTTATATTGTGGGATTCCAGCTGCCATGTCATTGTAACACTTAAGCAGTCCTCTGTCGTAGCTGATATTCTGAGGAACTGAGGCCTCTTTCCAAAAGCCAGTAAGGCATAAGGCCTTCTGCTAACAGACAAGCAAGCATATCCTGCAGACCCAGTTAGACATGCAGATGACTATAGCCCTGGCTGAAAGCTTCACTTTATCTTCAAGCCAAACAAATCCCAAACCAGAACCACCCAGTTAAGCTGCTTCTAGATTTCTTGCCTGCAGAAATCATGAGATAATGCTTACTTTTGTTTCAAGCTGATACATTTAGGGATAATTTGTTCCACAGCAACAGATAACTACTACAATATCCCAGCGTAATCCAGGATACCTCAGTGAAGTCTCCAGCCAGCACTGAAAGGAGAGTCACAGTGCAGTTTTGAGGGTTCTTGAACAAGGCCACACCATCTACGGCAGAGAAATAGCCACTGTTTAAATAGCACATCTAGGCATGCTGCTCCATGGATTCTACTACTAACTGAGAATCTGACCCTTGACCAAGTAGCTATTTGACCAAAGCGATTCATCATTAGCTGAATACTACCGGATCCACCAAGCAATAACATTGGGTGACAACAAGACATTTCATGACGGAAATAGTATATTTGGCATCAGGTTTAAGGCGGCCCATGGTTACATAAGAAGCATTAATTTTTAATAAGATCGAAGTAAGTTAAGGATGGGCTAATATAATCTCTTGGTTAACCACTAAAAGAATGATTTTCAAATGTGTAGTCTTTGACATTATATTCTTAATCCCAAAATTGCTGAAAACGAAATATTTACTCCAATTTTAAAATGTCTAACAAATTTTACTTAATCTAGTAAGAGGTAGAAATTATTTTTCTTTTTACATAACTGTGTCACCTGCATGAAAAAAAAAAAAGATTTGCTTCAGAATGCATTCCTCAATACTGGATATATTATTGAACAATGGAGGGCTAATAAATGGCCCTTCATTATTGCAAATGGGAAACACTGTATGAAATACCATTTCAGGAGAAACACAAAATAGAAGACATGATCTTTAAGTTACCTAAAACTCTACCAAAATAGAATATGTCATTATTAAGAGGGTATTTTAAATTAAGTTCTTTAATTTAAACAAGAGACCCAGATGGGTGCAGTGGGCTCACCCCTGTAATCTCAGCACTTTGGGAGGCTGGTGGGGAGTGCGGATTGCTTGAGTCCAGGAGTCTGAGACCAGCCTGGGCAACATGGCAAAACCCTGTCTCTACCAAAAAAAAAAAAAAAAAAATTAAATCCAGGAATAGTGGCATGCACCCTTAGTTCCAACTACTTGGGAGGCTGAGGTGGGAAGATTCCATAAGCCTGGGAAGCAGAAGTTGCAGTGAGCTGAGATTGCACCATTGCACTCCAGCCTGGGTGACAAAGCTAAACCCTATCTCAAAATAAAGAAGAGAAAGAGAAAAAAGAAGAAGAAAAAAACCCAACACAACAAGATGCCCATTCAAACTGTCTCAAGTGGAAGTGGGACTCTGGAATCCAACAGATCTAGCTGAGCTGTTCCATTTACTAGATGGAAAAGTTAGTTGACCTGTCAAGGCTTTGATATCCTTGTATTTAAAACAATAATAATAAGTTACCTCATAAAGTCTCAGCAATTTGCATAATGGTATGTCAAGTTAAGTGGCTTTCTTAAAGTACTCCATATATGTTAGCTATTACTATTATTCGTATCCCAAGGGCAGCTGTCCCCTTAGGGACTATACTTGGTGTTATGGACTGAATGTCTGTGTCCTCCCCAAATTCTAAGGTTGAAATCAAATTCCCATTGTGATGGTATTTGGAAATGGAGCCTTTGGAAGGCATCTAGGTCATGAAGGTGGCGCCCTCATGAATGGGATTAGTTCCCTTATAAGAAGACACCAGAGAACTAGCTTATGCTACTTCTTCCACTTAAGTAACACAGTACTCCGTAGACCAAGAAGAGGATGCTCACCAAGAACTCAATCCTGCTGGAAACCCAATCTTAGACTTCTAGCCTCCAAAACTGTGAGTAATAAGTAATTGTAGTTTTTACCACCCAGTCTGTGGTAATCTGTGACAGCAGCTTGAATTGACTAAGGCAAATGATCTATTGGTAGGGTTTTCCAGAGAAACAGAACCAGAAGAATACAAGCATATGTAGAACTAGAGATTTATTTTAAGGAATTGGTTTATGCCGTTGTGGGGACTGGCAAATTCAAAGTTGGTAGAGCAGCCAGAGCTTCAGGTATGAGTTGATGCTGCAATGATTTGGAAATCCACAGGACAGGCTGGCAGACTGGCAGGCCTTTGTTGGGACTTTTTTTGGTCTGTAGCTGTTGGTGTTTCCATTTTCCAGCTTCTTTAGCTCCAAGTCTGGGCTATGTGAGGCAGGAAGAAAAGCCAGAGAACTCAGTAGGTGTTGCTACATGGAACCGCTGGGTCCAGGATCCCTAGCCAGTCTACTACCTCTCCAACTTTCAGGGCCTTCTTATATTTTTTTAATATACAATTGCTCAGGGTTTTTAGCTTTCCTTAGTGGGAATAATAGTGAAAAGTATGTCCACTCCACCTTCCCAAGAGCAAAAATATTCAGATTATGTTTTAAATGTAGCCAAATTTATTTCCTTTTGTGGTTTCTGGGTTTCTCATGTTTTCTCCTGGGATTATTTTTTCCACATTAAAATCTTAACCATTTGGAATCTCATCAGATAAAGTGGTTTTGTATGAGTATTTGAATTAGCTAGCTACATTCCCCTGAAATGGTCAATTATGTAGCTAGCTAATTTATTTGCTGCAAAGTATGATCACCATTTGCCTTTGGCTGTTTATAAAACTAGGACTTCAAAGGATATATACAACCAGCCCTGTGAACCAGGATAGAGCTACCTTTGGGGGTAAAATCTGCTCATCTACTGAAATAATTATGAGAAGAAGAAAGTTTCTTTTTACTAAATTAAGATATTGTCTTTGTCCATAGAAATTATGCTTTGATATTTTCAAAATTTACATAACCATTCCCTATTCCAATTTTAAATATGAGGTTTTTTAAAAATAAACATCAGTAAATAGGTGCAAAAATACCTTGTGTTGGTTTTTGCGACAAAAATAATGGCAATCTGTCAACGAAAGGAGACAAGCTCTGTAAAATATTCGAAGAGGTTTATTCTAAGCCAAATATGAGTGACCATGGCCCATGATAGCCCTCAGGAGGTCCTAAGATATGTGCCCAAGGTGGTCCCAGTGCAGCTTGGTTGTATACATTTGAGAGAGGCATAAGACATCAATCAAATACATTTAAGAAATACATTGGTTTGGTTCAGAAAGGCGGGACAACTCAAAGCAGGGGGTTCCAGGCTATTGGTAAATTTTAACATTTTCTAGCTGACAGTTGGTTGACTTTGTCTAAAACTCTGGGATCCATAGAAAGGAATGTTCAGGTTAAAGATAAAGGATTGTGGAGATTAAGTTTTATTGTGCTGTGCAGAGGAATCTCTCAGATAGACTTGAGAGAGAACAGGTTGTAAAATGTTTCTTATCAGTCCTAAAAGGGCACCTGGCTGTTAGTTGATTATCTGCTGGATCTGCAAAGAAAGAAAGGAAAACAAAGTGGGGAAGGGATTCTCTATAGAAGTGGATCCTTCCCACCCAGTTTCAAGATATGGCAAATAAATATATTTTGGGGTTATATATTTTTTCCTTGTCTTATAATGTTATGCCAGGTCACACTGAAAAGCAAGTCACAATATACAGGGTCAAATAAAACCTATCTGATGAGAATCCATGGTTTGTAGGGTATGTCTCCCCAGACCCCTTAGGTAGGAATTTGGGCAAGATAAATTATCAGAGGTTAGTCCTCAAATCTAATTTGAAATTTGAACTGTCATTGTTAATTTTCTAGAGAATATAATCATAAAATTCAAGTTATATGCCTTCATTTTTCTTTTACCTATATTTATATGTATTTAACTTTTAAAATTTGCTTGTTTTCTAGTTGCCACAAGATAAGGATTCTTTGGTTCTAAGTGACAGAAATTCAAATGGGAAACGCATTTGCTCATGTAAGTGGATCTTGTAAACCCCAAGTGTGGACTCTGTCAGAGCCCACTGGATTCAACAGCTCAAATAGCGTTTCCTCTCTCTAGACCTGTCTTGATGGTGTCTACGTAGAAACTGCATTTTCAGGTACCTTCACATGTCAGGAGTCATGGCCTCAGACAGTTCTGGAGCCAAATACTTGTACTTTACTATTGCTCCTGTTAAATATAGTGAACCCCAAGTTTCTCTTTGAAGAATCAGTATGTCAGTATGTTCAGCTCTCTTATTCCTTAATTCTACATTTTAAAGTTTGATTTCCTTGAAGTTTCAGTAAACAACCTTTTTTACCAGTTCTAATCAGTAGTTCACATCTGTTACCCCAGTCCCTTCCTCCATGCTGACTCTTCCCAGTCACCTGCCTGGTCACCTGCTCAGATGCCTTTTCTGAACATGGCGTGTATGGAGACACGTTTATGATGTACGCCTGTGCATCTGGAGTTCCACTCTGAAATGCTTACTTTCCTCCCACCCCACATCTAACTCCTTAAAGTTCCCCAACTTCCCACAGCTTGGGAGTTAGATGTCTTTAGAGCAAGAGCTCCCTCCTTTTCCATTCCTGGCCGGGAATAAAACCTGCTTGCCTTTTCCCCTACCAATTGTATGTTCTTTTTTTGCAGCAAATGCAGAGCAAGGAAATAACTCAGTACTGGGTGACAATTCTTTCTGCTTTTCCACAACCCTCCAGGGTATCCAAAGACAGGGGCCATGCCCTCTTGCCAGAGCCCTCCACAGTGTGTGACAGAGTGGGGTGAGGAAAAGGAGAAGGACGGTAACACAAACATCACACAAAATCACGAAAATCCTGGGAAAAACACAAACATCATACAAAATCACTAAAATCCCAGAAACTCATGTAAAAAGCATGTCAGTGGGAGAGGAGGGGCTGGGAGGCCTCCTTTACTACCAAAAGATAAATGCTCATAAGTGTGTACACAGATGAAGTACTTGAATAAATGATTTTATTTTTTTCCAAGGGAGGCTTGTCACGATTAACAAATTCAGTCTAAATTCACCTGCTGGATTCCTAACCAGTTAACCCTCAACATTGAATTTGCTCAAAGTCATCCTAGAGCCAGCATGGTATAGGGTGTGTGTAGCACAGGAAGAGAATAATGGAGTGTTAGGAAGAGAAAAATCCGCAAGATGGGCCAGGAACGGTGCTAACACCTGAAATCCCAGCATTTTGGGAGGCCAAAGCGGGCTGATCAGCTGAGGTCAGGAGTTTGAGACCAGCCTGGCCAACTTGGTGAAACCCCATCTCTACTAAAAACACAAAACTTAGCTGGGTATGGTGGTAGGTACCTGTAATCTCAGCTTCTTGGGAAGCTGAAGGAGGAGAATCACTTGAACCTGGGAGGTGGAGGTCGCTGTGAGCCAAGATGGCACCATTTCAATCCTAGATGACACAAGCCAAACACCGTCTCAAAAAAAAAAAAAAAAAAACCCACCAAATCCAGAAGATACCATTTGATCAGCAAATGAGTAAGAATTCCAGTCATTCTGTTTTGCAACTGTACATATTAAAATAATTAGTACTTTGTCGGTCTCCAATATTTGTCAAGTTCCCTATTAAAAGTTTCCTAATATTTCTCTAATATTTGCCACTCCCAATAATAAATTATAAACCAAGATGAGTTGCTTATATTTGTAGGCACAATTTATTTTAAAATCCACACAAGAAACTTAGAAATGCAGCACTATCTTCAGACATCACATTCTAGCTCTGTTTAAATACCACATATGCTAAAAACTGATGCCAGGACATTCTCTAAATGACAGTTACAAATCAGTTTCTGGAAAGGAAGTGCTCCATGAAAAGCTTATAGCAAAATAAGTCAGTTTATCAGGTGGAGTATGGCACGTGAATTAGCCTTACAATAACTGTGTACATGGTATGGTTAGCCATTATTTAATCAAAAGTTTCAGGAAGTACCTTTTTTAATGCACATGCTGAGAGAACCGTCAATAGCCTTTGTTCCTGCTGAGGGGTCTGCCATCCTGGAGGTACAAATACTGCAGACAGAACATCACTGCAGGACTACGTACAGTTCAGACTGTTCAGGATCAGTATACTATACAGAAACTGTAGTTTCTATATAAAACTACAATTAGCTGAACTATGGCAAGGGTCCTTGAACATATAGCTTTTCTTCATTTCATTGCACTTTAATAAGTAGAATGTCACTACAGTAAATGCTGTTTATATGTATTTCATTCACATATAAGTTATGATTTCTCTAACTACCCATCTCTGTAGCTATAAATTTTTTCTTTCCTGAAAATCTCTCTTTCACACCTGCTCTGCTTGTCACTTTGTTCTCTAAACCCTATATTTTTTCTTTAAGGGGATCTATTTTCCTTTGAAACAATTGCTGGAAAGCCAGCCTCAGAAAGGTAATAGGAATGTTTTTCCTGTATTTTGAGACAAAAAAATTTCCATAGGAATATCCATTCAATTATAGAACAGAAATCAATAGGAAATTAGGGCATGGCCAAGAGGGTTTTGCTTGAAAACCTCTATTCTATGAAATGAGGAATCCTGCCATGGTGACATGCAGGTATAATGAGGCGAGGAGGACGCATTCCCATGAGTTCCCAGCTCCCTGCAGGGTGAGGACCATCCGCACTAGCACTTGCTCTGGCTTTTACTCCTCGGATACCTGTGGACCTGCAGGAGCTTCCTGTAAGCCTTCCAACCCAGCCTCACTTTCAAGAGATTCTTTCTCTTCTTCCCCGGAATCTTTAGGGTTGGAATCCTTTTGGGAGACACCCACTTCATCGTCTGGTTGCTCTTCACTAACACAGTTAGAATTGACATCAAGTTTGTGGTCTGATTGAAAAAAAAAAGAAGTTGTTATTTTGTTCCTACCACATGTCAGACACTCTTCCCAATGCTTCACATCTATTATTTAATCTTCATATCAACTACATGAGGTATATTATTATCTCTACTATCACTGCTATCATTATTTTACAAATAAGAAAACTGAGAAAACAGAGGCTTGGTAACTTGCTCCAAGATTCCTAGCTAGTGAAACAGCAGAACCAGCATTTGAATTCAGGCCTCTGGCTCCAAAGCCACCTCTAAATCAGGATTGTTGCTTGGGATTTGACAAAGCCTGTATTTGAATTCAGCTCTTCTCTGAATTAGTTTGATGTCCTTGGAGAGGTAATTGCCCGCATGCAGTTGATTCTTTTGTCTATAATATGGAGGTAATAAAGGCTATCCCACTTTGGTGAAGAATAAAGGTGTCTGAATATTTAGAGCAGTGTTTGGCACATGATGATGCTTAACAGCTGGGAGTGCCCATTCTACTGACAATCTTATTCTCCATCAATGGTGTGTTAGTAATGAACATTTGTTACTTTCTGTCCTTAGCACATAGAATAAAAAAGTTTGGTCAAGAAAACAAGAGAAGGCATGGCAGTCAGAAACCCTGACTATTCTTTTAAGGATAAATGGTTTAATTGTGTACAAATTATTTAATTCCACTGAGAGTATTTTTCAACCCAGTAGTAAAAGGGATATGGTTCCTTGAGGGGTGGAGGTGGAAATGCCTGGTATCAGAGTAACCAAGGCAGCTTTTTCAAACTACATACACTCCCTCAGAACATATGATATATTGTCTAGAGTGAGGCATGAAGGTGGGGGTGGTTATCCTTTTCAATCGAGAATCACTGCTGAAGCAACTCACTATTTCTGATGAAAATGGGTCATAAAACCTCAAGAGGGGTGGAGAAAAATACAAAATTCACTGCTCTGACACTTGTAGAAATTTGCTCTGTGTATTAGATCTGCAATTTAACGAGTGATTTATAAAGCTACTTTGTAATTTCACCTGTAGTTCTGAAATTTAATTAAGGAATTTAAAGGCTTCCACTCTCACAATCTTCTGGTAGCCATTAGTGGAAATTTAATTAATTCCCTTATTCAAAAACTTTAAAATCCTTCATAAGCAGAATATAAGTTAATACCCATGAAGAGTCCCATTGTTCCAGGGCAGTCACCTAAGCTAGAATGTAGAATATGAAATAAACTACATTCCTCAGAATTTGATGTCTGTTTTCCAGTGATGTCTAGGCTGACTGTATCCCAAGAATTTTAAAAAAGGGATACATTTAAATTTAAATGTGATTCTTACATTGGTCACTCTTGAGCTCCTCTGGCTTCCAGAGGAGACTCAGTTCCAGGGTGTTAAGATCACCTATCATCTCTCTCTCCACTAAGAAGCCAAATGAACTTGGTTTTTATATACATACGATTCTCCTCTCGTCTCTTTTCTTTGGCAGCCTCTAATTGTTGCTTCTCGTAAATGTCCTTCCGATTCTTACAGATTTTCTTATGAGTAAACCAGTGTGTTTTCTGGCAGGTTTGATCACAATATATTACCTGAAAGCAATTGTAGGTTTATTTTCATTTCAAGAGCTGGGATTGTATGATTTCCCTACTGTGACATTAAACCAAGAACTATGCTGTAAAAATGTTGTTTCCCATACTTTATTTTAAAACCGTAATATGTGGCTGATATAATTTGGATGTTGTCCCCTCTAAACTGCATATTGAATTGTGATCCCAAATGTTGGAGGTGGGGCCTAGTGGGAGGTGATAGGATCATGGGGGTGGTTTTCACATAAATGGTTTAGCAACCTTCCCTTGGTGCCATCCTCAAAATAGTGAGTTCTCACAAGATCTGGTTGTTCAAAAGCGTGTGGCACCTCCCCTGCCCCCGTTGCTCCAGCTCCTGCCATGTGATATGCTTACTCCCGCTTCACATTCCACCATGATTGAAAGCTTCCTCACACCTCACCAGAAGCCTGTGCCATGCTTCTTTTACACCTGCAGAACCGTGAGCCCATTAAACCCCTTTTACTTATAAATGACCAAGTCTCAAGTATTTCTTTATAGAAGGATAGGAATGGCCTAATATGGTATCTGTGTATTCATTTAGATTTGTACTTTGTAGCTTTACTTTAAAACAATAATGAATATATAACAAACAGTCTACCAAAGACTTTAGCAAATAGCTTATTATAAACCCACTATGTGCCAGAAATGGTACATTACAATGTCAAGGAAGATAGAGTTTTGTCCCAAAGGTAGATAGGGTCAAGAAAAAGAAAGATATGGAAGAAGGGAGAGAGGCGGGCACCTAAATACATAATTTTTAAACACAGTACAAGATGTAAGGGTGATGGAGGCATAAAGGAAGCAGCGACTCACCCTAGCTGTGGTGAGTCAAGGTACACAGAAAAATGGGAAAGAAGCATTCCAACTGGAGAAAATTTCTTGTACAAAAATGCAGGGACAGGGAAGTGAATGACATGTTTAAGAACAGCAAGAAGTTTTTGTAAATGACCTTATATTTTTGCAAGTGGGGGTGGAAAGGAGATGGAAATGAACTTTATTAAATACTTATTATATGGTAAGCACTGTGCTAGGCCCTTATACATAAATTGTATTATTGGCCCCAATTCTTCATTCATCCCTGCATTCATACACTTTCTCATGATTTCAAAGTTCTCTGCACTGAAGGGGAGGAGACTTGATCTCAGATTGGGCCATGTGATTTGTTTCGGCCAATAGCATGAGACAACATGGCAGCTTCAAGGCAAGTCCTTGAGAGACCTTCTGTGGTTCTAGCTACATACCTTTGCTACTGCCATGACAACATGCTTAGCCTAGCCTGCTAGTATAAGGAGGATGAGAGTCACATGGAGCACAACTGCCCCAGCTAACAATAGCCAATCACAACTGTGAGAGAAAGATTAAATGATTATTGTTTTAAACACTTTTACTGTGTTTTTATAAGCAGTGCTAGTTAAAGTATTTCCATTTAATTCTGGAATTTCGCTTAATTCAGGAAAGTGAGGTTCAGAGAAGTAAGTCATTAAACAAAATGAAGCTGAAGAAGTAGGTGACAGCAGATTATAATGGATTTCATTTCAACCTTAAAGTCAACAGGCAGTTGATGCTACCTATGGGATTAAGTGAATGTACAACACGTGCATGTGTCCAGTATGTGGATGTGAGAACAATACTATCAGATATACCTTTTACAAAGTAATTCCAGAAGAAGGGGGCAATATAGTCCATAGGGATGAAAGATTAGCAACAGTCAGAAATTGTAGTTTTATAAGGACATGTTGATGAAGAGACTGTCATTAAAGTCAACATCAGAAGAGAAAAGATTATATATTTATGAACTGTCCTATTCTAGGTTTCACATCTGCACCAGCCTCAGTCTTCTTGCCCCACAGATAATCTTTATCTTATTTTCTCATATTCATTCATTCATTCATATCCTTTCTTTCCCTGAGGTGATCAGCAAAGAGGCAAAGGAAGACTGGCAGTTTGGCAGAAATTTGGCAATTTGACACAGTATAGAACTACACTGATCCTATTAATTCTCTTCCAAAACTACTTTTTAAGTATTAAATACAATATTTTTATTGTTAGAATTTATTAGAAAACTAATGTCAACTGTTACAGAAAATTAAAACTCAATCATCAGCTTGGTGGAATCTAAACCAGAGGTCAATGAAGTAAAAAGAACTCCATTCTTACCATTTTGCAAACTGAACATCGCTTACTTGCTCCCTTTTCTCCACAGGTAGTGCAAAATTCCACATCCACAAAACCCACCTGGCCAGTGATGGCTTGGGTAAGGACGGAGAATGCAGTGGGATCAGAACCCTAGAGTGGGCATGAAGAGGAGAAAAAACAAATTCTGAAATCACTGTGGAAACACTACAGAGATATCAGCCCATGGACACTGCTGTCCTACAATGTTGACACAAAAAGGGAAGAAATCATAAGGCTATAGATTACATAGAATTTATGATAAAATGACAAAAATCTTTTAGAAAATATCATTTTCTATACAAAACATATGAAAAATAAGTCATGGGTCCAAATAATTAAAGAGAAAAAAGCCTTAATCTAGAATAAAATGATTTTTCCAATTAGGTTAATTCAGTAAGCCCATAATGACTCAGATTTAGGACAATGACTCCAGAGTGGAATTTTTTTTTCTGAGAACTGACATCCAGACAATATTCATATTCCATGAGACAATTATAGTTACAGTTAAACATCTGAAATGTTTAACTATCTTAATTCCTAAAAGTTTAGTACAATCTAAGTATTTTAAAGACAGTATGTTTAAACTCATTTACTTGATGTTGGCTTGCAATTCTAATAAATTATCACCATTATAATTGGTATGTTCCAAATTCTTTAAGAAATATACATGCAATTGAATCAAACACATGAAACTTATTACTAATCAGCTATGGAAAATTAAAATAGGTTGTTAAAAAAGATTTATAAATTTTTTTTTTTCAAAGAAAATTATAAGGGTCTGGGAGCAGTGGCTCACGCTTGTAATCCAAGCACTTTGGGAGGTAGAGGCAGGCAGATCACCTGAGGTCAGGAGTTCGAGACCAGACCAACACTGTGAAGCCCCAACTCCACCGAAAATGCAAAAATTAGCCAGGAATGGTGGCACACCTGTAGTCCCAGCTACTTGGGAGGCTGAGGCAGAAAGATCACCTAAGCCCGGGAGGCAGATGTTGCATGAACTGAGATCATGACATTGCACTCCAGCCTTAGCGACAGTGCAAGAATTTGTATCAAAAAAAAAAAAAGTAAGTATTTATCTGTCTGAGACGATGCTACTAAAACCTACTTAGCAAAAAATAATTACATGGTATCTATTTTTCTTACCTACTCCTAACAGTTCTTTGTTCTGAGTTTTTCAAATTTGTTCATTTATTCCAACCCAGAATTTTGACACTCCTTATAATTTTAATTTTCATTTGAATATTTGCTTTTTCTTCTTAAGAATATTTGTTTTTATATTACCTTTTCTTCTTAAGAATATTTGTTTTTATATTATATTTGTTTAAAAATACCACCTGGGAACAATGTCCTGCACTGTTCTGTATATTCAAGATAGTCAAAGATAGTATTCAAAGATAGAAGATGTATTTTAAAAGTAGCACAGCTTTTGAAACTGCCATGTTCTTCTTGAATACAAGTAATAATTATTTGGTTTACTTTTACATGAAACTGCTATGAATTCTCTTTCAGAATGAAAATAGTATAATGGTGAGGAAAAATTAGGTGAAATGAAGTTTGAAATATTAGATACTTCAGTTAATAATTTCATCAGGAATGAAGGTCTATTTTAGTTGTGCTTAAATGCTGGAGGGCATCAGAGAATCTGTTAAAAATGCAGATCCATCCCACTGCCCCATACCTTCTAACTTAAAATTTCTAAGGATGTGATCTATGTACCTGCATTATTACCAACATTCCCAAGTAATTCTAATACATACTAAAAGTTTGAGTATAACTGGTTCTTAATAGTACATTGAAGGCTTACAAATCCACATAATTTTTTTGCCTGAAAAGTAGAGTACTGGATCAGGGAGCAGTCTGGTCCAAATCAACAGAATATGATACATTCAACAGACATTACAACAATGATATTTTCATGGTCAAATATTTCTTCACAAAACTGCCTGAGACATGTTCAAAATCTCCCATAAATGGGACAGTTGTGGGAGCCATACCACACACTAACATTCTCACAGATGTAACTGAAGAGAAAAGAATATTTTGCTAGGAGCACACCTGTTAGTGAACTATGGCTTACAAAGAAAAGTAACAGTGGTACAGATGAGTAACCATGTAGAATCTTTCTTGGTCCTGGTGTTGACAATAAATACCTCGTTATACAAAATCTTGCCATCTACTTTGTTAAATAACGTATTACTAATCGGCTATGGAAAATTAAAATAGGTTGTTAAAAAAGATTTATAAATTTTTTTTTTCAAAGAAAATTATAAGGGTCTGGAAGCGGTGGCTCACGCCTGTAATCCAAGCACTTTGGGAGGTAGAGGCAGGCAGATCACCTGAGGTCAGGAGTTCGAGACCAGACCAACACTGTGAAGCCCCAACTCTACCGAAAATGCAAAAATGAGCCAGGAATGGTGGCACACCTGTTGTCCCAGCTACTTGGGAGGCTGAGGCAGAAAGATCACCTGAGCCTGGGAGGCAGATGTTGCATGAGCTGAGACCATGACATTGCACTCCAGCCTTAGTGACACTGCAAGAACTTGTATCCAAAAAAAAAAAAAAATCGTAAGTATTTATCTGTCTGAGATGATGCTACTAAAACCTATTTAGCTTCTCCCATAGAAAGATATTCAGCCTAAAAACAAATAGGATACTTTATTCAACCTATGCTGTAAAATCAGAAACATTAGCTAGCCTTCCAGAAGTTAAAATACATACTGTCAATGGATAAAGCAAACTTATCTTCAATGGTATGATCTGCTGTGATGCTGGAGCAATCTTTCTAAACTCAGCTATGCCTTGCACTTCCTGCTCAGCCTTATGACATGCAGAAGCCAGAGTTCCACAGTATGCAGAGGGAAGCAAAAGCTGAGCAGGAGGGCCCAGGCATTAGCACTGTCAGAAAACAACACAATGAAGCTCACAACAAGCAGCCCTGAGAACCATCATATGCTGGGAAAAGGTGGGCATCAGTTCAGAGGCTTAGAACTGGCAGAATATCAAAACCTATTAGGCAGTAAACAGTGGCTGAGATATGCACAATCACAAGCATTTGGGATAAAGTTTTCCAGAGAGTAGAACATAAAACTTTCAAAAATTTTAAAAAGAAGTCTTTCTAAAATGCATGAAATACTATCTTAACTTTATTATAAACCTTTTCTTGATGACTCAGATCACTAGGATAAACAATCTTATACTCCGGGCTGGGTGCAGTGGTTCACGCCTGTAATCTCAGCACTTTGGGAGGCCAAGGTGGGAAGATCGCCTGAGGACAGGAGTTCTAGACCAGCCTGGCCAACATGGTGAAACCCCATCTTTACTTAAAATGCAAAAAAATTAGCTGGGCGTAGTGGTGTGTGTCTGTAGTCCCAGCTACTCAGGAGGCTGAGACATGATAATTGCTTACACCTAGAAGGCGGAGGTCGTAATGAGCCAAGATCATGCCACTGCACTCCAGCCTGGGTGACAGAGCAAGACTCTGTTTCAAAAAATAAAAAAATTTAAAAAATGATAATCATTATACTTTATAAACTCCAATTACATTCTACTATATGGGGCTAAGATAACTTGTTGACCATGATATTGACCTGCTTTTTTTTCAGAGAACTCTGTGGTGCTGTTTTAGTTTTTGTGTTTTCTCCCATGAAGGCAGAAGGTCAGCAACCATTTGTGACTGCTGGAAATCCCACATAACAGGTACTGCTAGTTGCTTCTCTGATATTGATTCTCCCAACTTCCTCACTAACAGAAGTGTAATTTTGTTCAGAGCAGCAGCATTTAGAAAAGCCAAAAATACTCATTTTCCCAGACTCCTGTGTATCTAAGGGGAGTCATGTTACACAGGCAGAGGGCTTCTGGGAGAGCTCATGTCTTCCAGATATAGACCCCTTTGCTCTTCCTGCCTGGAATAGGAATGTGAGCTGAAGGAAGAACATCAATGTCTTGTAACCATGAGGTAGTAAGTATGCGTATGAGAACCTACAAAGCTAATGAATATTGGAGGGAAAGATGGAAAAGTGTTTGGGTTGCCAAACTATTTTTGAGTCACTAGTCTGCCTACCTTTGGGCATCTAAGTATATGTGAATACATAAACCCTTATCTATTTAATTCATGGTTGGCTGGGCTTTGATATGTGCTGCCAAACACATTTATAATTGATAAATTATAATTAGCTAACCTTAGTCTTCCAAAAGCATAAACACTAAATAGCCAACTATATTAAAAAGCATGAAGAAAGAAACTCTTGAAACTATGGGGGGCACACATGAATAAATTAATGCATGAACTTTATGAGATGGTTTTGTCTGCTCAGGTCTTTCTTGTTTATTTCGTGGTTCAGAATAGGTTAAGTCTTAAAGTATGAAGCAGCATCTAGAGCCCACTTTGAGCCCTGATGTTCCACAGTAAGAATGATATAATGACCCACAGAGAAGGCTCAGAGAAGGGAAACAGATTTGCCAGAGGGAGGGAGGAAGCAACGGTTGGGAATGATCTTAGGATCAATTTCTTGCCCGATAGACAAAAGCTGATCAAGGATTTGACTGAAATGTATAAAAGCATGAATGGGTATAGATAGGGTAAACAAAAACCTATTCAAAATAGAAAAGGTGGCCAGGCACAATGGCTCATGCCTATAATCCCAGCACTGTGGGAAGCTGAGACAGGTGATCACCTGAGTCAGGAGTTTGAGACCAACCTGGTCAACATGGTGAAACCCCATCTCTACTAAAAATACAAAAATTAGCTGGGCATGGTGGCGTGCACTTATAGTCGCAGCTACTCAGGAGGCTGAGGCAGGAGAATCACTTGAACCTGGGAGGTGGAGGCTGCAGTGAGCTGAGATGGTTGGTGCCCCTGCACTCCAGCCTGGGTGACAAAGCAAGACTCTGTCTCAAAATAGAAAAGACAAAATAAGTTAAAATATATGAAAAATGAGTAGTAAGTAATTTAAGTAACAGATAAAGCTAACAAAATGTACTTATATAGTTGGGAAGTATAAATAGGTTTTAAGTATGGACATTTTCTAATCAGAGGCATTAATGTGGATTATAAGAAGCTGGGGCATGCTTTGAGATTGTTATCAGGAACCACAATGAGTCTTCCCATGGCTTATCCCACTACATCCCCACTGCCTGGATACTATCACCCTAGGTGATCAATTCATACATGCAACTAGTCTATGACTTTGTGCTATAGCTACAAGTGCATATGTGTGTACCTATATTACATAGTGGATGTATTTAAAATGTAAATTCCTACCCTAACCATCTACATTTCAACACAGGGACATCCTGTTTATTAAACTATGAAACTTAATAAGATAAAAAGAGAATCGTGAGATGGGAAACGGATAAACAGGAACAGGTTTAGCAGGCAAACCTATCTTCACCTTTGTTCCTAAAAAAATTCTGAAACAATAAAAATAAATACTAAAGAGAACTTGCCTTTAACAAAACAATATGTGGTAATTAGGTCTTACTGATAGAGTCAACTTAGGTCAGAGGAGCCTTACAATTTCAACAGGAGCAATGCTTCGAACCAGCTGCTGGAGGAGTGTAGCTTCACAGTAAGGAAATTTTCTGATACTTTCTCTAATGATCTTTTCTTGATATACTGGAAAGCCATCAGAAGCTCGGCCTTTTAACAAGCTGAAAGATATTTTTAAAAGAGTAATTGGAGTTGACTCACTAAGCATTCTCTCCTAGCTGAACCCAACAGTTTTTAGTAGTTTCTTCTCTGTGACGAGCTGAATTCAAATTACTGTTCAACCTACCTGTTAGGCTAGGCCTTATAAGGTTTTTGGGCCCAGAAAATGAATATGCAAAGGTGACTACCACCATAAAACACACTAAACATTGTTATCAGATTAGCTAGCTACTTATTACCATGTCAGTTATTTGTACTAAGAATAAAAACTCTCACAGAGTCACACCCTTCAGACTTAGTTCCCTTTTCTAGGTAAGGATGCAAGAGAATTTCATCTCTATTGGGCAGAGAACAAGCAGAACACATGGCTCTCTAAGGTACAGTAACAGAGACACCCTGGATGCCATTATAAATCTAGAGCTGCAACCTAGGGCATGAAATATTCTCAAATTTGGACCTGCACCACATTCTAGCTGTGTGATCTTACACATGCTATTTAACCTCTCCAAACCTCAGATTCCTCATCTGTAAATCACTAGTAACGATAAAAACATCACAGTAAAGGATACAGAACTGAATAATCACTCAATGTAACTATAATATTATTCTGTTTGTTAAAGACTAAATGTGATTACAACAATAGCAATTGGTGCCAAAATGTTTAATACTGAAACCCATAATAATGAGGCTTCATATAAAAAAACTATATTTACTCGAGTGTATTTTATAAATGATATAGTAAAATGAGTACCTTTTGATCAAGGTGTCCAGTTTATTCTCTCCATCTTTTAAGAAGTTAATGCATTTCTGAAAGATACAGCTTATGTAATGCATTTTCATAGCCAATACTTCATTCATGTCTCTTTGCTTCATACATTTCTCACAAATCAAATCCATCACTCTGTAGCATTTATTCAGGGCTGCTTCTTCTGTCAGCAGAGGATTCTCATTTATAAGCATCACGATCTAGAGGAAATCCCAATATACTCAGGTATTAAAAAGGAGATACTTTTCCATGTACAAATTAGGGAATCCATTTAGTTGATTTCAAAAGATTACCAAACAAAGCCTTCCTTAGGATCATAAAGTTTTTATGTCATTTGTTAGAATGCAAATTACCCCTGACCAAACTTATAGAACTAATATAGAAAGACCCTAAATAGTGAAATCTCTTGAACTCTGTATATCAAAGTTATAATGTGATCCATTGAGTGCTGTCTTTGCTTTAACTTTTTTTTGGAGACAGAGTTTTGCTCTTGTTACCCAGGCTGGAGTGCAATGGTGTGATCTCAGCTCACCACAACCTCCGCCTCCTGGGTTCAGGCAATTCTCCTGCCTCAGCCTCCCGAGTAGCTGAGACTACAGGCACGCGCCACCATGCCCAGCTAATTTTTTGTATTTTTAGTAGAGACGGGGTTTCACCATATTGACCAGGATGGTCTCGATCTCTTGACCTCGTGATCCACCTGCCTCGGCCTCCCAAAGTGCTGGGATTACAGGCTTGAGCCACTGTGCCCGGCCTGCTTTAACCTTTTTTGCATACTCACAAAGCAATCAGCATCTACTTAAGCCAGAGTGCTAGTATACCCTCAAGAGTACATGATTTTACAGTCTCTGTTAAACGTACTTTTACTAGAAATAAACACGAAAAATTTGTACATTTTACATAAAGAATCAAATCATTGAGCAATAACCACTTTTAGTTAACACTACTCAGCTCTACAATTTCATGGCGGGGAGAACTACAATTCTCATTAATTCTTATTAAGAATAAGGAAATGAGATTTTTTTTAGCATAAAGTCTAAAAGTGAATGTGCTTTACTTTCCAATTAACTACACTTTTCTGTGGAAATTTTCCTGAAGATGCTTCCAATCATCTACGGTAATGAGAATAGGTCAAAGAGGAAACCATAAATAACTTTAAAGGGGAACTATTAGAATTACCAAATCTTATACATTATGAGTCCCACATTTCCTATGTATGCACAGATTAAGCTCAATTTAGTGTAATATGGAGTATTTTTGTATTAGCTTTGTTGTAGGGTAGATTATTTGAAGTAGGTCTGTACAGGACTGCTGTAAACATCCATGGTGGCATAACAGTAACATAAACATGAATGTGAGAGTGGCAGCAGGCAGCCAAATGCCTAAGCAGATAGGGCTGGATCCCCAGTGAAATCCTACTTCCAAGCCAAAGACAGTTTAAAGCCTGAAAGCCAAGTTACAAATTAAATCCTTGAACCAGACTGAGAACTTGTCTTCCTGTTTGGCTCAATCTCTTCTGATTGATCCACACCCTCCACCTATTTTATATACACCTACCCTTTCCTAACTGGCTTTCTACACTGCTGTGCCCCCCAATGAGTGGTGTCTTTGCTTTAACCTTTTTTGCATACTCACAAACCAATCAGCATGCACTCCCCATTCTGAGTCCATAAAAGGACCTGGACCCAGGAACACAGGGTACTTTCCTGTTTTCGGGTAGGGGAACCACCCTGCTGCATCCCCTCTTTGCTGAGAGCTTTCTTTTCACCTAAACAACTCTATTCCATTCACTCCCCAGTGTCCATATGCCTCATTCTTCCTAGTTATGAGACAAGAACTTGGATCTAGCCGAACTAAGGAGCTGAAAGACCACAACATATGTAACAGGGGACACAACTGAATGCACAGAGCAGATAGCTAGTCAGTACTTGCTAATCTACCTGCTACAGCTAAGTCAATATCCCAGGGACTGGACATGTCAGGGAACAACAGGTAGTTTTCTTGAATTAGACTCTTTTCTTTAGGCATGAAAAAAGATCATCTATCAGTAAAGCCCATAGCTAGCCCTCCAATTAGAATTTTAATACAGATAAAATGTCCTTGTGAAATTAAAAGATTTTCACTTTTTGACATTACATTTATATACAATCCGGTGTTTTACAAAACTCCAACACTTAATAATAAATTATTAGAGTTAATGAAGTAAGTATAATCAGGATCCTCACTGGTAAATTTGTTGCTAATTCTCTCTACCAAAACATACATCGACAATTAATTTATGGTGGAGAAGAAAAGAATCATTAATTATCTGTTTAGACTTCTGCTAATTTCAATCACTTACAATTGTTTGATCAGTATTTTTATATATGGCATTTATAAAAAATCTTAAAGTTACAAGTGAGAATTCTTTTAAAAAATTTCCAACAGAACTCAGATTAATAATTTTTTGATTGGAGACATTATGTTTTAATACACAGCACAAATGCACATCAAGAAAAATGATAAGCAAATCATTACCAGGAACTTTATTTATTTATTGACTTACTGACACAGAGCATCCCTCTGTCACCCAGGCTGGAGCACAACGGTGCAATCTCAGCTCACTGCAACATCCACCTCCTGGGTTCAAGCGATTCTCCTGCCTCAGTCTCCCAAGTAGCTGGTACTACAGGTATGTGTCACCATGCCTGGCTAACTTTTTGCATTTTTAGTAGAGTCAGGGTTTCTCCGTGTTAGCCGGGATGGTCTTGATTTCCTGACCCCATGAGCCACCTGCCTTGAACTCCCAAAGTGCTAGGATTACATGTGTGAGCCACTGGCTCGGCCACCATAAGCTTATTGAAACAATTACATAGTTGCAAACAAAAGAATAATATTGTACTTGCTTCCTTCCTTAATCTCTGCAGCATTATCAACTAATACATTACAAAGGAAATCCTTTTTATTAATTAATGCGGAGGAGTAAATAAATATATTTCTATTGGCATTAAAAACTAAATACATTTAACCATTTAAAGGATTGCTGCCTAAGAATATGTTTATGTAGTGGCATTTTGAATTCTTTTCAGTTTATAAATCCCAATTTTAAAAAAATTGCTAACTACAATACTGAGCTTCAAAAATCACAATAATCTAAGACAGAATTGCTCTGTGCACATCTGCCTCCTGTCCATGTAGAGACCCTGCTCTGCTGACATTTTCTTCAGTGATTTTGTTTTTCTCCTAAATAACCTTCATATTCTGGGCATCAGCACAATCCTCTCGGTCCCTTTTGAAAACAAACGCATGCTTACTGCTTAGCAGCCACTTAACCTAGACACAAATATAGCTATGTTATGTGCACTGTAATGAAAAGTGAGGTGTGTATTAGGGAGAATTTCTGAGCTTGTTTTATAAACTATTTGACATTATACAGTAGTTATTACTGTAAAAATAATACTCCATAGGAAAAGCCATCCTAGCTTAAAAAGGGGCAGAGCAATAAAAGTGGGCCACAACAACAAAAGCAACTGGGTGGCTTTCACATTTTCTTTTATAGATAAAAGGAAGAAAGGGTTTCAAGTGAATAGATTGTTTATAGCTACAAAAAGCGAGGTCTGGTATGGAGGAAGGTATATAATAGGATAGCCCCCTTTATACTCTAAAAATATTACATAGTCTATTTCAGACTATATACTTTACTAATTATTGCCTGAATAAGTATGCCCTCAATCTAATTTACTTAAAATATATGCCTGCAAAGATAACTGAAGGTAGAGTATTAATAATTATTAGGACATTTAACCCTGAGAGACTGGGTTACAAGAAAACATTTAAAATTATTCCACAAGCCTGGTCAACATGGCAAAACCCTGTCTTTACCAAAAACACAAAAATCAACCAGGTGGCCGGGTGTGGTGGCTCACGTCTGTAATCCCAGCAGTTTGGGAGGTTGAGGTGGGCAGATCATCTGAGGTCAGGAATTAGACACCAGCCTGGACAACATGGTGAAGCCCCCATCTCTACCAAAAAAAAAATACAAAAATTAGCCAGATGTGGTGGTGGGCACCTGTAATCCCAGCTACTTGGGAGGCTGAGGCAGGAGAATCGCTTGAACCCGGGAGGTGGAGGTTGTAGTGAGCTGAGATTTGCACCTCTGCACTTCAGCCTGGGAGACAGAGCAAGACTCTATCTCAAAAAAAAAAAAAAAAAAAAATTGCCAGATGTGGAGGCAGGTGCCTGTAATCCCAGCTACTCAGGAGGTTGAGGCAGGAGAATTGCCTGAACCCAGAAGACAGAAGCTACAGTGAGCCAAGATTCCCACCACTACACTCCAGCCTGGGCGACAGAGCCACACTCTGTCAAAAAAAAAAAAAAAAAAAAAATACTCCACAAACTCTTACTGCAATCTGTAGGGGTAGAAGCATAGGAATGAAAGACAGTGACTCAGAAAAATACAAGGAACTTCTTCCAATCAGTCTAAGTCAGAATATCCTGTAGCGCTCAGGCAGTGGAGGGACAAGGGATGTATAAAACAACATGCATTCTCTACATTGAGAAACGTACCCTGACAGAAACCTGTCTCCCCGTCCCAGCCAGTCTATGCCTGAGAGAGCACTGTAGACAGGAGTCAGTGCTTCTCTAGGGAGTCCTCTTCCCTAGGTGTGCTGGCAGGGAGAGAACCACTAACACAGAAGAGGATACATATTTTTTAAAGGTTAAATTCTTAGCCCCCAGTAATCTCCACTAGACACATGAGCATAAGAGTCACAGCTGAAATTTGCCCACTTAGTATCACAAGTGTTGCCTCTGGTACTTCTAGAATGTTAAGAAAAACTCTCAGTTTTCTAAAGTAAAAATAGCAGATTTCAGTCTTCAGTCTGAGGGGAAAGGTATCTACTAGTTTCTCATGTTTCTTAAAGGCCTAGAAAATTAATTTGGGTGGAGGACCACACAATGGGTAAATTTAGTTTGTTTCTCAACCTTCAAATACTCAAGATGCACAGGGATGCAAAGTAATAAGATTATACACATTTCGGATCTTATGTCTTTGAATGAGTGTTAGTCTTCAAAAGAGTTACCTTATAAGAACTGTCCACTCATTTTCATGATGCCCAGTAGGCTTCACAGATTCTTCTTTTGTAATAAACTTCTGGGGAAATCTATTTTACTACATGATAGTAACACCTTATATTAAGGAAGACTCTCAACTTTTGATCCAACTTACTATCTTGCTCACTTAAATAGCTCTGAACTACTATCAAATCTTTACACTATGAGTAAAAGCATGTAATAGATACTGAAATTGAAATAGGATCTCATCACTATGCCATATATGTAACTGTGTAGTTTTCTGTGACGATTATTGAGGAAATTATACTCGTTTAGCTGGATTTTTAAAAAAATTATGTTGCAAACAACAACAGCACAAGTCTGTATTTTTAGAATGTGGAAGAAAATAGCAGTGAAATATTTCAGAACAGCTCTTGAAGTTTCTCAGTTAAGCCATTTGAACTTACATGCTGGTCTAGAAGTTTGAAAATCTGTTTGATTGGAGAATTACTAGAAGAGCTATGTTACTTAAAGGCATCAAATAAAAACGTGCTCATGATTACATTTCAGAATCTTTCTTAGGAAGACAATTATTGCAATAGATGCGGTTAGTGCCCCACCTACATCCTCTTTAACAGGCCTGTACACCAGACCCCAAGGGCTCTGAGGATCAGCTAGTACGGTCTTTTCTCCAGAGGACTGCTCTCATTGAAAGGGAGCCACCTCGGTTGGTACTATCTGGGAGGCTGTCCTTTCCCTCTGGGGACAGGCCTCAGCCAGCAACAGACTGATGAATACAAAAGCTGGACTCCCTTCCCTCTCTGGAGCTACTCACACTCCAGAGCTCCCGGTGGGATGAGGTGGAAGCCAGGCTTCAGCAAACCCATCTCTTGGCATGGCCTTTCCTGATGCTTTAGTCTGCTTCTCTCCTGCTTGCTCGCTTCCAGGTTTCAACGGAGAGCACTCCTTCAATAAATCAACAGGCCAAAGGAGCCCATTGCAAGTTCTACATCTACAAAACTCAACCCAAGAAAATTATGATCTCATATAATGAGATCATAAATGCTGAAGCAATATTTACATATAAGACAAATACAGTAGATGGCACGCTACCTTGACAGGGTGAAGATTCGTTGTGGTGATAATTTTGTGCAGCGGGCCTGCCAACTTTGGGGGCAGTTTTGGCTCTTTATCCAGTCCCTGGGGCTTAGTGTAATAATCCAGTCTCTCTCGAGGAAAGAAATTGTTGATTATGGTCACACAATCATGTTGACCTTTTCATAGAAAAACACAAAAGTTGTAGTTTTGGTATTAAAAATAACATATCTGGATTTAAAAATTAATTATGTTGCTATTTTTGTCATGTAAACATGCACCAGTATCTTTATTTTTCAGGAAAGGAGACTACAGGAGGGGGAAGAGGGGTAAAATATTTTAGAGAACATTCATAAACATTCCTTATAAAGTTGAGAAACAATCTTTTCAAAACATGGAATCCAAAATACATATGAAGATTATGTGAATTACACAAGAAAGTACTGCTCAACTTGTAAGTAATCCTAAGTATTTTATAACAATTGCTTAAAAGTTAAACGCTCTTCTTTCAACCCTACACAAATGATGCTCATGCTTCCCTAATCTCATCTGGTTGTATTTATACATAATTTAAATTTACTCCATATAAAGCATTGTTCTTATTTAATAATAACTAATATTAAACTAAATCCTTCTTCCCCCTACTTCCTACCCCCCTAAATTTGCCCTTTTCTAGCTTGGCCTCTTTATGAAATGAAGTAGAGAAAAGGCTTTTGCTCCCATAAGCTTGGCATCCACATTGTGACTTTGCATAGAATTCCAAGGTCCTTCTCTAAGCCATCTCTAGTTAAAAATGGTTCAGTGAAAGCAGACTCTTCCCTGTCGAAGCTGCTGACCTGCAAATGTGCTCCTGCGGCCTCCCCTCCCTAGCTCCCTCTCTACTACCTCTCTGAGGGAGCAAGGCAGTGGCCACTCTGGGCAAGCAGCCAGAACCACAGAACACATGGGAGGGCACAAACTCTTCAAAGGTCTTGGGAGGAGAGACTTATTCCTCCACTGTGCCTGATGGGGACGGGGGGACCAGTGGGGGCGAGTCCTGGGGAAAGCGCCCAGACGCCATGGCCCCCGCACCCAGAGAGTGGTCCACCCTGGGCAGCCTGCATAGCCCCTATCCACTTGTGCTTGGTCCAGGGAGCATCTGCTTGATCCGGCCAACAACAGGTAACCTGCATGGGGATTGTACTGTGGGCCGGCTGGATCCTGGCGCCTGAGGCTGGCAGAGGGCTCTGCTTGTCCTTTAAAGTTCCTGGGAGAACCTGGGAGTGGAGGACTTCATCCTGCACCTCAGGTGATTGATTTGCTGACCTGGGCCCACAGGTACAGAGACATGAAACTTTCTTCTTCTACTGCTCCAGGACCCTATCAGCTTTACGTGACTGCCTGGGAGGTACAGAACAAGGTACCTAGGGGGACCCAGCAACTCTGAAAACTATGCAATGCCTCCAACAGAGGGCTTCTTGGGTTGGAAGTATATGGATAACATTTACCATAACAATAACCACCACAACTACAGCTAATAAGAGCAATTAAATTAAGCAGATTCAATTATAATATATAAATAGACTTTCAAGAGCCACAGAGAGATTCAAATTTTAAAAATTAACAGGCAAACTGAAAGAGGTGATCCTGGTTACTATTGAGAACTAAATTAGTAATACAGAGGATATCAAGGCCAGGCGTGGTGGCTCATGCCTGGAATCCCAGCACTTGGGGAGGCTGAGGAAGGAGGATTGCTGGAGCACAGGAAGTGCAGACCAGCCTAGGCAACACAGTGCAACCTGTCTCGACAAATAATTTAAAAAATTAGCTGGGTCCAGTGGTGTGTGCCTGTAGTCCCAGCTACTTGGGAGACTAAGGGAGGAGATTGCTTGGGACCAGGAGTTGGAAGCTACAGTAAGCTTTTTTTTTTTTTTTTTTTTTTTGGTGAGATAGAAGATAGAAGACAGAAACTGTTGCCCAGGCTGGAGTGCAGTGGCACAATCTTGGCTCACTGCAATCTCCGCCTCCTGGGTTCAAAGTAATTCTCCTGCATTAGCTTCACAAGTAGCTGGGATTACAGGTGTGTGCCACTACACCTGGCTAACTTATTTTGTATTTTCAGACAGGGTTTCACCATGTTGGCCAGGCTGGTCTGAAACTCCTGACCTCACGTGACTGCCCACCTTAGCCTCCCAAAGTGCTGGGATTACAGGTATGAACCACCATGCCCGGCCAAAGCTTCAGCAAGTTTTGATCACACCACTGCATTCCAGCCTTGGTGAAAGACATTCTGTCTCAACAAAACAAACAAAAAAAAAGAAGATCAAGTGGATGAAATATCTCAAAACAGAAAAATTCAGATATGGAAATCATTACACAAGAGATAAAAGAGCTAAAGAACAAATACAGGAAATCTAATCGTGAAAAATAATAGAAATCTCAAAAAGAAAAAAAAGGAATAGATGGAGAATTGAACGAATGATAAAAGAAAACTTCCCTGATTTGAAAAGAGAATTTATCAGTGATCACGATACCATTTTTGGTATTCTATGCTATTGTTAAGTACCAGAATACCCAATTTCTTTCTTTTTGCGGGGATTGGGAGAGGTGGGTATTTCTTTTATGTCTTTCCCCATTATATATGTCTTGAGAAGTCAAACAGTAGCAGTCTATATTAAAAATGTAAAATGAGTCAGGTGCTCTGCTTAAAAAATGATCACCTCTCCTTCCAGAATCTTCAAGAAGAGAGAAAAATGACATTCAACCAAGCAAATCTAATGCAAGTGGGTTATGAACACAGCATCAAAATCCACATGGGAAACTGTTGGGAAATTTGCAACTGTGTATGAGGAAACCAGAGAAGATGAAGACAAACTGTATATACCATATGCTTCCTTAAAACAAAATCTACATCCAGTTTCAATAAAAAGGTAGGTGATCCCACTAAAAAAAAAAAAATTTCTAAAATATCTCATCAAAAGTATTAAACCAGACATAGGAAAACTTGATGATAAAGGGGTCAGAGGAAAATATGGAATCAGCTTATAACTATATCTTCTCATCAGGCCTTCGACTAGTACAGTCAGGAAAAGCAGGCAGCAGTTGGGAATATCTGTATACAAAAATAATTTCTACATAACAAAGATACTGTCACAAGACTAGGTAATTCTTAATTAAACCTTTTTATTTTTTTGAGATGGAGTTTCGCTCTTGCTACCCAGGCTGGAGTGCAATGGCATGATCTTGGCTCACCGCAACCTCCAGCTCCTGGGTTCAAGCGACTTTCCTGCCTCAGTCTCCTAAGTAGCTGGGATTACAGGCATGTGCTACCATGCCCAGCTAATTTTATATTTTTTAGTAGGGACAGGGTTTCTCCATGTTAATCAGGCTGCTCTTGAACTCCTGACCTCAGGTGATTCGCCCACCTTGGCCTCCCAAAGTGCTGGGATTACAGGCGTAAACCACTGCGCCCAGCCTAATTATACCTTTTTGAAAAGAAAAAATAATATTACTTTACCTTTTCTTCCTGATTAAGTTTTTTCATTTTAGGTAGTGCTTATTTTGATATTTTATTTTAATTAATCTGCTAACAACATGTTTGAGTGATATGTTTAAAGTTTTTCTTTGTAAATACTTGACTGTTTAGGTTTACATTTTTGTAACTGAAAATTTTAAATATTTAATTTTACTGGTTTTAAATTTATAAATTCTGGATATACATAAATAAAATAATATTATTAACATAGAAAATAAATGCTGTGGGTGGAAAAGCCAGTATATCATTTTGCTCTTATATTACAGTCCCTAGACTTGAGTCCTCTAGCTTTTTTAAAGGGCTCACTGAGTGTGATTCATAGGAACACACACATACAACAAGATACATCCTAATCAAATTTTTTACTTTCAAAGATAACCTAAAATGCAAACCCTCTTCCAGAATGAGAAATATAAAGTTTACAATGGAAAGTAAGTTGAATTCTCATTTGCAAAACCAGAACTTACAAAACTTTAGAATAACTTCTATATATCTGAGAGAAAAGAACTGTGATATGAGTCAGAAAGCTAGGCAAAAAATATGAATCGCATTTCAGAAAGAAAGGTATTAATAGTTCTGTCATGATGGGTTTCAAAGAATACACAACCTACATAACCCATTTGAAAACGTCTTATAACCAAAATCTAAATGAGAACAGAGATCTAAAGACAAATGGAGACAAAGGGGAGGAGAGAGAGGACAGTAAGAGAGAGAGTTCATATGAGTGGGTGAAGAGAGATGACAGGCAAATCATACAGTCAGTGGTGTGGATTACTGAAAGAGAAGTAACACGCTGTCAATGACACTCTCATTCTGGTACTAAAAATAGTAGACTCTCTCAGCAAAGTCCACAGCTACAGGTATGATTGGCATGGGTTTTAAAGAAGTATCAGAGCGGGCAGAAAGGAAAGACCTGAGGCCTGATAAGGCAAAAACAGAGAATGTGGAGAAATGAATGAAGTATACGGATTTCATTTTATAAAGTTGCTAAATGGATAAATATGGGGCTTTGGGAATGGGACATATGGTACTGTACCCTTTAGGGAAATACATGCGTGCACCTATGCACACAAACACACATGCAAAATGATAGTCAAGTAAAATTAAGAATAAAAATGAGATAAAAGAGGAGGAATGCAACCACGTATATCAGTAATTACATTTAATATACATAAGCTAAATACCTATTAAGAGAGGAAAACTATCATTTTGGATTATAAAACAGAACTTACCTATATGTTTGTAAGTTATACTACTTTTGCAAATCAACAGGGAAAAATAAAAATTAAAAAAATTAAAAAGTAAGTTATACTATTAAATGAAATGATAAAGACTGAAAATGACACATGGGCAAAGAGATTATTTTCAAAAAAAGGAATTAGGAATAGCTGTAATATCAGTAAAAGTAGAACTAAAAGAATTTGACAAGAAAAGGAGTGATATTATACAATGATAAAACCAATAGCAATATCATATTAAAAGTGAAAAGCTAAAAATATTTTCATTAAAAACAGGAAAAAGGCATGTCAATTATCACTATTATTTCTTCTTACTTTGAAGCCCCAAGCAAATTCAAATAGAAAACAAAATAAAATTTAATAGAAAACCCAGTAAACTGTAATAAAAAAATGATAAGGAAAAAGTACAGAAATTAATAGCTTTTCTCTTTATTATCCATTACCAAAAAAGTGACTGAGTATGGAGGTGATAGTGCAAATTCGTACCATATGGACAATAACCACAAATTACTAAGAAACAAATTTTGAAAGAAAGAATATAAAGAAACCTATTAAATATTATTGAAGGAGCAAAAGCCAGTCTCCTCCCCAAAAAGAAATGTAAAGGTATACTGTGTAATTGGATGGGAAGTCCTAACATCATACAAATGTTAATTTTCTGCAAATAATTATATAATCATTTAGTAAAAGAGAACTTAACTTACCACAAAGGTGGTATTTCAGTTTAGTGGGAAAATGTTAGCTGGTGTAATAAATAGTGCCATCATAATTAGCTATGTATCTGGGGGGAAATGAACTCTAAATAAATAAATTCTAGAGGTACCAGAAAAAAATCATAAAGAATAACTGAAGGATATTTAGGAGAATACTTATATAACTCCCGGTCAAGTGCCCCACTTTTAGCAAGAAAATAAACACAGAAGCTATAAAAGAAAATATATAACTACTTAAAAATAAATTTCCTGCCGGGCATGGTGGATCATGCCTATAATCCTAGTACTTTGGGAGGCAGGAGGATCAACTGAGGTCAGTAGTTCAAGACTAGCCTGAACAACACGGCAAAACCCATCTCTCCTAAAAATACAAATATTAGCTGGGCATGGTGGCACATGCCTGTAGTCCCAGCTACACGGGAGGCTGAGGCAGGAGAATCACCTGAACCCAGGAGGTGGAGATTGCAGTGAGCTGAGATCATGCCACTGCACTCCAGCCTGGGTGACAGAGTGAGACATCATCTCAAAATAATAATAATAAATAAACAAACAAACAAATAAATAAATACATTTCCTATGGCAAAGGTGTCCATAAAGTTAAAAAGGAAGAAGAAAGAAGGAAGAAGGATAAGGAAGAAGAAAGAAGAGGAGGAGAAAGAGGAAGAAAGAGAGGAGGAGGAGAAAGGAGAAAAACGACTGATATAAAATACTTGGAACACATTTGTTAGATAATGGATTTGTATGCATAAAGCTCTTCAAAGCAATAAAAAAAAAAAGGGCATCCCCCCCGCCAAAATGAATAAAGAGTACAAGTGGGTAATCCACAGAAGAGAAAATACAAATTACCAACAACAGACGTGCTTAATTTCATTAATAATAAGGGGAAAGTAAATTCACAATGTGCCATCTTTTTAACTATCAGACTGGCAAAAATCAAGGTATGGTATACCCAGCTCTGATGAGGACACTACTGTGAATTACTATGCCCTTTTGGAAAGGAATCTAGACTTACACTAAAATTAAAACTCTATAACCTTTATCTCAGCAATTTACTTCTAGGAAATACTTTAGAAATATTAAAGTTCTAAAATGTAAAAAATATAAGATCAGGGATGACTATTACATTATTTGTAAAAACTGTAAAATATGTCAATAAGGGAGAGCTAACTGAACTATGGAACACCTATATCATGAAATATCATGTAGCTGTTGAAGGAAATGAATTATACCTACTGAGATGGGAGGAACTTCCAGTGAAAAAAACAAGTTATAAGGAATACCTGCTGTGTGATGGACGGCATTTTTAAAGAATGACAAAAACCTTATATATGTATGTTCACATGTATACATACTGATCCACTTCAAGGAAACAAAAAGAAGAGAATGAACTTTTTAAAAGGCTAATTATTTGGAAAATACAATAACAACTGGAAGGGTGCAATGTAATTTTTTGTCTGTGAAATTAGTCTGAATAGATTAAAATGGAATGAAAACATTACTCTTATTTTAGGATGGGATTATAAACAATTTCTACCTTAGTGAGAATTTTGTTGGTATTACAGTGTTAAGAAAGAGCAAGGAGTATGGTATTAATGCCTGAAACAAGAGACTCCTCCATTTCCAGACCTGTGATCTTGGGATAATTATTTTACCTCTGTCTGAGCCCTATTTTGTTACATTGTGGATATAATAAAAACTTGTAAAATTAAATAGAAGTTCAGAGATCACATTAATTCCCCTGATTCTTTGCATACAGATTAGAAAACTGAGGCCTATGGAGGTAAAGGAATTTGCCCCATGATCCTGGAACTAATTATCAGTACACATGAACTAAAGTTCAAGTCTCCAGATTCCTACCTTAGTGTTCTTTCCCCCAGTGACACCATCAAAATTAGCTTAGAACTGAGCTGGGGGCAACTTGGGGCCTGTATGTATGGGAGTTAAAAGATTTCTCCGAAGCTTATACAAGGCCACACTTTTCTCAAATCCTGAAATTAAAATAAGAAAATTTCTTCTAACAGAAAAAGCTGTCATAAGGCAACTGAGTGTCTGGCTTAATCAATGGCAGCTACTACTAGTAGTTTCAAGAAAATGCCATAATAAAATTTAACATAATATTCACTTACCATCCTCTGTACCTAATTTCCACTGTATCTGAGCTTGACTTCTCTCTAAACCCCCTTGAATGGGATAGATCCTCCTTTCCTATGTAAATTTATGTAGCTCTTAAGCCCTACCTCAAAGTATGTATTTTTGCACCATTTGTCATTGCTATTACCCTCTAAGTGCCATGAAAGCATGAACAATCTCTGTGTTGTTATCACTATAACCAAGACACTTACAGTGATGCTTGCTTTATAGATTGTGAGCATTATTTATTTAATGAATTATTAGTCCCTATAAGGCCACTTATGGCACTTCCAATAAATCACGTCGCTATCTTTGATTTTCTCTCAGTGGATTCTCTTCACCATCAATTCAATGGCCTAAAAATACCAAAGATCAAGAATTCACTCCCACTCTTTACTTACGTTATGTCAAATAACAGGATTAACATGCCAAGAATTATTGGACCACAAATGTCTGTGGTTGATGATAATGATAATGAAGTAGTTGTACATTACCATCAAGTACTCTTTCCTGGGAGTCATGTCAATGTTGTAATAGTTACTAACAACAGTAACTAATGACATTTATTTAGTGTTACATGGAAAGCTCAGGTCTATCATCTCTTTTAATCCTCACAATAACCGTGTAACATTTTACCATGAGGAAGCTGAAGGTCATAATTATTAAGTACTTTGCTATTATATAACACAGCCAAAATTTAACTTGAGATTACTGACTTCACTGTTCACATTCTCAAACATTAGGTTTAGCTACTTCTATTAGAGACATTAAATATACATGTTATAAGCATTTGCGTGCAATTACAATGGCCCGCTACTCCCCGTATTCCAAAAAATGGAAATTCAAAATAGCGGTTTGTTTTCTCCAAAAAGTCACTAGGTGTTTCATTAAGTTACAGTGGACTGTACTTAGTTTTTTTAAAAGCAACATGATAATATTTTCACCATGAGAAGCAAAGTGGTTTTTTTCCCCACAAGGGAAATTTTGGGTATAATCTAATGTAAAACTGCAGCAAAATCTCACCCACAAAGGCTGCCATCTGAGCTGCTGTTCTTCCCACGGAGTTGACAACATCTGTGTCAGCACCAGCTTCCAACATTACCCATGTGATGTCTTTATTACCTTAAGTTTTAAAGAAAACATATTTGTCAATGTTAAGGAGGACACAGTTTAAACATCCCCTTCTAAGCTCTCTGTACCCTTTCTTCCCCCAGTTAGTTTTAGGTCTCTGTCAGATGGATATTTTCATTTTCTTTTAAAACATGAATCATAACTACAGTAAAGAATAAAATGCTACAGAACCTACTTAGAAATTAACCTTATTTTCTGGAAAACAAATCAAGCAATACAAAAAGCAGTACAGAATTGAATATTGCTTTTTTAAACAAAATGAAGTAATGAAGTATGTTTTCCTAGAGGTAACACTTAGTATGAAATCAAAATACACATACAAAAAAATTTTTTAAAAGAGATACAATGAATATGATTCCCCTTTAATATCAACTACCCCTCCCATTCCTCACACCCTACTGGCTCTGGAGTAACTGTTAGCCATTGGGGAATTTATCTTTCTACACCTTTTTTCTATCTAAAGATACACATGTTATTCTATTCACATTCTTCTACTAACATAGTCATTATGGGTATTTTGCTATTAAGAATTACACTCAGTGGTATTTTTCATTCATTTTCACAAGTTTGAATTATGATTTCCTTAGGAACAGTTCCTGGGAAATATTGCTAGATCAAAGATTACACATATTTTAAATGCATTTTGCCAGGCTGCCACCCAGCAAGGCTGGACTGACAGGTACTGCCCAACATAGTGTAAAGAAGTTACTGAGCATTATAGCTCTTTCTTAACATTTGCCAGTATAATAAGCTAAAAAATAATAATTTATTGTTCTAATTGGCATTTCTTTGATTACTGCAGAAAATGTTTTGTATGATCAGCAGATTGTATTTCTTTTGTTTCCTGTCCAATTTTCTACTGCGGTATTTTTCTTTTTCTTTTTTTTTTTTTTTGAGACGGAGTTTTCGCTCTTCTTACTGGGGTGCAATGGCGCAATCTCGGCTCACCTCAACCTCCGCCTCCTGGGTTCAGGCAATTCTCCTGCCTCAGCCTCCTGAGTAGCTGGGATTACAGGCACGTGCCACCATGCCCAGCTAATTTTTTTGTATTTTTAGTAGAGACGGGGGTTTCACCATGTTGACCAGGATGGTCTCGATCTCTTGATCTCGTGATAAACCTGCCTCAGCCTTCCAAAGTGCTGGGATTACAGGCATGAGCCACCGGTTATTTTTCTTTTTCTAATTGATTTATAAGAACTCTTTCTTTCGTGGGGGGAAAAGAGTCTCACTCTGTCACCCAGGCGGGAGTCCAGGGGCACGATCTTGGCTCACTGCAACCTCTGCCTCCCAGGCTCAAAAATCCTCCTGCCTCAGCCTTCTAAGTAGCTGAAACTGCAGATATGTGCCATCATGCCTGGCTAGTATGTGTATTTTTGGTAGAGACGGGGGTCTCACCATGTTGCCCAGGATGATCCTGAACTCCTGGACTCAAGCAATTTGCCCACCTTGGTCTCCCAAGGTGCTGGGATTAAGGTGTGAGCCACTGTGGCTGGCTAAAAGAACTTTTTATATTTAACAATATAATCCTTTAAGATGTAAAATAAATATTTTTAGTTTTTCATTTGTATTTTAACTATTTATGGTATATTCTACAAATGAAAATGTTAAATTTTTATGTAATTAAATTGGTCAAAATTGTCCTTTTAGGATTCTATGTTTTATATAATGCTTAGAAACGCTTCTAGGTTCCAGGATTATGAAAACATAGATTATTATATTCAAAGTACAAGGATATTATATTACTTCTGTATTTTTCAAAAAGCTGTACCAATTACAGATAACCCCATTTAATTTTAGACAGTATTTCTAAATTGTCTTTATTCAGCAAATAATAAATGATACAAATCAGAGTAACTTTCTACATGGCTCATTATATTTAGTATATAAATGCCAGTGAGGTAAACAGACAGTTCTATCACAGAATCTGTTTGATCAAGAGAACAAAGAAGTTTCCATACATTTGAAAATATAAAGATATAGAACATCAAAGGCGGTACCTTGAAAGAAAAATAGATCCAGTTCCTCAGTTCCATCAAAATGTTGTCCACATAAAGAATCAATTGATTTAAATAACACAAGAAACAGATCACCAAATTAACTATATAATTTATTTCCTACATTGTAGCTTCTCAAAAATCAATTCCCATCATTCCTTTCCTTAAAACTTGATCTTAAAATTACTAAAATAAAAATGAATTTAATCTGTTAGTATATATGTACTTAGTTTGTATAGGTAACTAAAATTTATAAATAAATACTAAAACTTCACCAGAAAGTGCAGCAAACATGAGGGCTGTGTATCCATGTTCATGTTGATGACAATTTACGTCGGCTCCATGTCTCAGTAGTAATTTGCACATATCGAGTTTTCCTTTATATGCTGCATGCATTAGAGGAGTCATTCCATTCTTTAATAGAAAGGGAAAAAAGTATTACTGCTACTGTTTTATCTTTTCTGTACCTATGAACAATTTCTGCAATTAGAAACATAAAATGAGGGGCCAGGCATGGTGGCTCACGCCTGTAATCCCAGCCCTTTCAGAGGCCAAGGCAGGCAGATCAAGAGGTCAGAAGTTCGAGACCAGCCTGGCCAATCTGGTGAAACACAAAATGAATATAAATTAATTAAGATGGTCTTTATAATATGTATTTTTATATTTACTGCCACACTTGGATCTTCATTAAACTTCTGAGGAAAAGAGATGATTTTATTACTGGAGATTTTTTTTTACAGATTAGCAAAAAGATTCAGAGAAGACTTGCTCAACCGCACATGACTAATAATGGTGGGGGAAGGGATTGAAACCCAAATTTTCTAAACATACTTACCTTCTCAGAAAGCAAATGAACAAACAGATACACACATTTTTTTTTAAAAGAAGAAAAATCTCAAGCAATGCCTCTCAAGGGGAAGACTGAAAAAACTACAGCATATGTATAACATGGGATATTATGAAGGTACATTAAATGAATGACTTCACCTGTATCTACTGAACTGGAAAATTTTTCTTTTTTTTTTTAAGAGACAGGGTTTCACCACGTTGGTCAGGCTGGTCTCGAATTCCTGACCTCAGATGATCCACCTGCCTTTTCCCAAAGTGCTGGGATTACAGGCGTGAGCCACCACGCCCAGCCTTGAACTGGAAAATTTTTAACAAATTATTGTCAATAAGAAAAGGTACAGGAAATGCATATTATAGTAGTAGTATTTTTAAAAACCATAATCCCCCAAATCACACATATATTTTGATCATACATATGATTTGATTATATGTGATTCCATAAATATGGAGAAATGGCTGGTAGTATTTACCCTAGGCTACATTGTTTAGTCAAATCACACATATATTTTGATCAGACATATGATTTGATTGCATGTGATTGTATATATATTGTGAAATGGTTGGTAGTATTTAGGCTACACTGTTTGGTCTCCATACGCTTTGTGCATATCCAATGAAACATCCAACTTTTTATGTCCTAGGTGCTACTATTATTTGGTAGATAAGTGGATGAACTGTTCCCGTGAGTAAATTTTCTCAGTAATAAGCTAAATGGTGCCAAAATATCAAAGTTGTTTTGGATGAAAACCTCTGTAAAAGATATAATCTGTTACCTTAGTGAAGCTTAGAATGCTAACATAATGTGAATTATTCTTCATGCTTCCAGATTATTACTACAAACATAAGTCATCCTCTTGTTAACACAGTACACAGTATGCTCAGAGGGTTGTGGAGACAGGAATGATAGAAAGGCTGGGATCTTTCAGTTGGCTGCACAAGAGGCAACTTCGTGGAAGCTATGGGCATTTCTTGAGAGTAAGAATGGAAAAATGATTAGCAGATGATAACTTTTAACACTCCCTTAGCTCGGTGTTTCCATAGGGATGGAATACTAGTATGTTGGAAGTGGGTGGGTGAGTGCGGGCCAATCTCATTGTATAGAGCCAGCCAATGGAGTGCTATAAGGGAATAGGAATGGACTGCATGAACTCTAGCTTTTAAATAAGGCAAAACCGTATTGCGAGCATGACTAGGGTGATAGCTCCTAAAGGATGATATAACTGTCCATAAGAAGCTAGTGGCTAGCCTGATAGGTGGCAGGGAAAGGACACAGTACCATCAGGAAGGCCACCGCAAAGAAGGAAACAGCTGTTTCTGATACAGATTTTAGGATCCAGACTTCACTATCGAGTTAGCTTTTTTCTGTTTATCCAGAATAGGTGGGCAGTCAATCACCCAGGAATCCAATCCTGCAAGAGGTTCTCTAACTCTGAGAATGAATAATCTCCAGACTACAGAAGGGTTCTGAAGCTTTTTTAAGAAAACAAAGCAAAATAAAACAAAACACAAAGCTTTCAACAGAAAGTGATAGTCTGCTTAAGAGCAAAAGAGATATGGAAAGCTTTAGAGTCTCACATCGCCAACTGTCCTTATTTTTTAGTGTACCTGTGTTTTCACTGTCATTTGTGTTAATCACTTCTGCCCATTTACCTGTCATCATGTCTCCTACTACTCCCTTTCCTCTCATTTAAAAAAAATTTTCCTGTCTCTTTTCTCTTTCTTCCTTGTTCTTTTTTGTTTACCAGCTGTCACCTTAGCAGAAATTGGTTTTTAGAGCAAACCAATGAGAGAGTTTCTTTCCAAAAGGGTAAATATTGCCCATGCGCGGTGGCTCACACCTGTAATCCCAGCACTTTGGGAGGCCAAGGCAGGCAGATTACTTGAAGTAAGGAGTTTGAGACCAGCCTGGCCAGCAGGGTGGGACTCCGTCTCCATTAAAAATACAAGAATTAGCCAGGCATGGTGGCAGGCACCCATAGTTCCAGCTACTTGGGAGACTGAGGCAGGAGAATCACTTGAACCTAGGAGGCAGAGTTTGCAGTAAGCTGAGATGGCACTACTGCATTCCAGCCTGCGCAACAGAGCAAGACTCCATCTCAAAAATAAATAAATTAATTAATTAAAAACAAAAGGTAAATATCTATCCCAATCATATCATCTGCTGTGCCATCTCTGAACATCCTCTTTTTGTCATGTTTATAATGCAGGTATATGATCTTCCCATATCAAATTTCAGTGCTATGGTAGATGGGATGGTCACGGGTATTAGGAACCAAACTAGTGATAAGTAACTAATTTACACTCATTTTTCAAAGAGGCTATCACATGTACTTTTCTATCTTAGTACAATTTTGTGTTATAAGAATTTAGAACAGTACAAAGAAAATTATAAATTTAGACTGCAATGATTTCTATACATTATCTTGGTTCTAGTACCACGTTATTTATAAAAACTTTTCCATGGGCAAAGTAAAGAGAGGTAATATTAATAAATTTTGATGCTCCATAGAGATATAAAGCCACCATGCTATAAATGTTCTATTTATTCTAGTATTTTTATAGTTGAAATATCCAGAAAAGAAAATAATTTGAAACAATACTGCTTATCTACTAGAAGTACAAGAAAATATTCCCATGTTCAAAATACATGATGCAAGTAAATTTAAAATGTTACATTACAGTTGTAAAGATGAAATAACTTAGTATCAGACAGAATAGTAAAATAATAAATGTCCATCTCTACTCAAACTAGAAAGGTAGTGATAAGATTTCATAAAATGTTACACTGTAATTCATCAGTTCTTAGATGTATCTCATTTTTATATTTAAAATCTCCAGAATTGAGTTTCACTTTACTCAAGTCTCACAAATCACCATCAGTTTCCACTCATCTCATTTAAATAACATCTAGATGAAATTTTAAATCTATGGCATCTTAGATTCAATGTTATGTAAGAGTAAAAATCCTCGCATCCTTGTGATTTCCCAAAGATAACCCTGCAGGTAGTCTGCTTACTTGAATTGCATGAGAAACAAGCTTCTACAATTCTTTAGATATAATTACCTTAAAATTAAAGGTCTTCTTCCATAATTCTTAAGTCAAAGAATTCATCAGCACTAGGCTATTATATTGCAATTCCATGTCATTAAATGTGGCATCCATTGATTCAGCAAATATTTAATAAGTGCTTAATATATGTCAGGCATTGATCTAAACATTGGAGGTAGCAATAAGCAAACTCCATGCCTCCCACAGTCTAAGTCCCTGGCACTTACAGTACAGAAGACTAGGGGGATGGTGATCCACATGCTAGAGGAAACTAACATTGAGTAAAGGGGAGTAGTGCCAGAGGGAAAGAGAAGGCTATTAATTTAAAGAGGACATTCCAGGAAGGTAGCACTTGAACAAAGCCCTGAAAGGAGTTGGGGAGGCAAGGAATGCAAATAACTACAGGAAGAATGCTCCAGGGAAAGGGAATGAACGTGCAGAACTCTAGATCGTCAGAGAGGCCAAGTGTGTTTGTAGCCCACTCACAATCTTCAGGAACATGTCAGGAAGCTTCTGGTCTTGATCCTGGTACTTCTATTTGAACACTAAGTATGATGCAAATGTTTGTGGAAGGTTTCTGCTAACCTATCAAGTTACAGAAGAGTAGTTCTATCCTAATTTGTTAGTTTACACCATCAAAGATTATTAAATTTTATAATATACATTTTAGCATCTGTTGAGATGATCCTATTTTTTTCTCTTTCATTCTGTAATACAGTGAATTATGTTGAAAGATTTTCTGAAACTGAACGATCCTAACATTCTTGGGAAAACCTTAGTTGTTTATGATGTTGTACAACATTTCAAGAGATGGCTGGATCAACTTGCTAAGATTTTTAGAATTTTTGCCTCTGTATTTATGAAGTGAATTGGGTCCATAGTTTTGTGGAACTTCTTACTATTTGGCATCAGCATTATACTAGCCTTATTAAATAAATGAGTTGAGTATCTTCCCATCTTTTTCTAAACTAACAGTATAACTAGCGTAAAATGATAATTAACTGGTCCTTAAGGTTTGGTAAAGCTTACTCTGGGTTGCAGCTTTTAAAGGTGATAGGAGATTTCAAAATATTTACACACATTTCCCTTGATTATTACAGTTTTTCTACTTCTTTTTTTTTTTTTTTATTTTAATGAGATGGAGTCTTGCTCTGTCACCCAGGCTGGAGTGCAACGGCGAGATCTTGGCTCACTGCAACCTCCGCCTCCTGGGTTCAAGTGATTCTCCTGCCTCAGCCTCCTGAGTAGCTGGGACTACAGGCGCCCACCACCACACTCAGCTAATTTTTGTATTTTTAGTAGAGATGGGGTTTCACCATGTTGGCCAGGCTGGTCCTGAACCCCTGACCTCAGGTGATCTGCCAGCCTCGGCCTCCGAAAGTGCTGCCAATCACTTGAAGTCAGCACACCCGCACCAGTATTTTTACTTCTATATGAGATTAATATGTCTGTTTTAATTTTTCTACAAAGATCATATGGGTTTTGAAATCCGTTGGCATAATAAAAAAGTTATGACAATCTTCTTTATAATTGCAGTTATGTTTTCCTTTCTCCATCCTTCCCTCCTTCCCTTTCTCTTTTCCTTTCTTCCTTCTTACTGTTTATACATGTTATTTTCTTGCTTGTACTTCCCAAGTTGTATCTATATTTTGGTTTTAATTTGATAATTTTTACTGTTTTTTTTCTTTCCTAACAGTTTTATTGAAATACAATTTACATACCATACAATTTACCCAGTTAATTTGTACAAATAAATGGGTTTAATATATTCACAGAGTTATGCATCCATCATCACAATTAATTTTTGAACATTTTCATCATCCCAAAAGAAACTTCATACCCACTAGCAGTCATTCCCCACACTCCCTTACCCAGCCCTAGTCATCCATTAATTTACCTTCTGTCCCTATGAATTCGCCTATTTTTGATATTTTGTATAAATGGAATCATAAAATACACAGTCTTTTGTGACTGATTTCTTTCACTTAGCATTAATGTTTTCAAAGTTTGCACATATTGTAGCAGATATCAGTATTTCTTTCATCTTGAATCATACCCATTGTAGGATTATACTACATTTTGTCGAACTATTCATCAGTTGAACATTTGGGTTGTTTCTACCTTTGGCTATTATGAATAATGCTGTCATAAACATGTCTTTGCATATGCAAAATTTTGTGTGGATATTTACTTTCATTTCTCTTAAGTATATATCTAGGATTTCTGGGTCATATGGTAACTCCACATTTAATTAATTATGTGAAGAACTGCGAGACTATTTTCCAAAATGGCTACACAATTTACATTCCCACCAGCAATGTATGAAGGCTCCAATTTCTTTATCTAATATACCTGCTGTACCACCTTTTTGATTATAACTATCCTGGTGGATATGAAGTGGTATTTCACTGTGTTCTTTATTTGCATTTCCCTGATTGTTAAAGATGTTCAGCCTTTTTAAATTATGTATTGATCATTTGTGTATCTTCTCTGCAGCAAAGTCTATCCAGATCCTTCGCTCATTTTTTAATTGAGTTATAAATTTTTTATTATTGAGTTACAGGAGTTCTTAATATTTTCTAGTTACAAGTCCCTTATCAGATACAATTTGTAAAACTGTCCTCCCATTCTATAGATTGTCTTCACTTTCTTGGTGGTATGCATTGAAACACAAAAGTTTTTAATTTTGATGATTTCCAGTTTATCTATTTTCATATTGTTGCTTATGTTAATCTGCTTTTAAATTTTTTTGCTTTATTTTTTATAAATCATTTCTATTTTTTTTAGTATACATACTCTTTTAATAATTTCATGAATTGAAAGCTCAGAACAACACAAAGATTAAAAGTAGAATAATAAACACTACAAAATTTTTCTAAGTATCACTTCAGCCACCAAACAAAGGTTTTGATAAATGTTGTATTTTCAGTTGTAAACAGTAGGCAATTTTTATTTCTATATCTTCATTAACAGAAGCATTATTTAGAATCAAAAAAACAAATTCCAAGATATGTGTTCCATTATCTGGATTATATTTTTGTTTCTTTTCAAATGTATTATACTACATTTAGCAAAGCTGTTTGAAATCAGCTACAATTTCCTTTAGAAAATAGTATAATACATGGACTAATTTTTATCAATGTTACGTGTAAAAAAGAAGATACATTAATTTTTTTCTGCTGATATACAGTCCATTTACTGTTAATTGGGTAATCCACATTTTCTGTTCTGAGTTACTTTTTTTCTATTTAATCTGTTAGTTTCTAAAAGGTGCTATTTTGGTCTCACAGATTTCTCCTTTGAGCATTATCATTTTTTCCTTTATGAACCTCATTGCTTATAGCTGATAAGTTTAGAAGAAAAGGCTTAAGGTGGATTATTAATTTAATATATGAGAGAAAATTCATATAATTACATGTTGCTTTAAACTTTGTTTTGCGTGATATTAATTTTGCTACCCATGTGTGGGTAAAGAGTTAACAGAACCCCTTTCCCTTCTGCATGAGAAACGGAAGTTCAAGTAACTTTTTAGCACTAGACCGTGCTATGTAATATAGTAGCCACTAACCACATATTGGCTATTTAAATTTTAATTTCTAATTAATTAAAATTGAACAAAATTATAAACTGGTACTTCCAGCCAAGATATAGTAATGGAAACCAGAGTGATCTTCTTCCTAGAATAACAGAAAAACACATTAAATATATAAAATAACAATTTACAAGACACAGTAAGTCAGGCAACAAAACGTGATTTCGGAGGCATGGAAAGCAACTGAATTGGCTCCTACAATTGCCTAGCTTATCACCTTAACAGGTTTCTAGGTTACAGTATATGGAGAGGTCATCCAGACTGAGCCTGGCAGACTGCACTGAGGTGATGCAGTTGGGCACCCAAGGTTACCAAATTGGCTTAAGTTCCCAGGAAGAGTAAAAGACAGAAGAGAGCTGCACAGGAGGAGAATTCTAAAGATCTACAGAGGGTTTCTTCTGAGTGTTTGGCTGGAGTACTGATCAACACAAGCATGTGTGGAAACTACCCAAGGCTGGGCAGAGAACTAGCTGACAGCATTAGGAGGAACAGCTTCCAGAGCTCACACGGGGCCAGGAAGAGTGCCTGTTCCCACCAGCCGGGCTTGAAAATCTCAAGCATCTGAGAACATTGCATAGAGGACAAGGAAGTGTCTTAGTTCAGCACCAGGAAAAAATCCTTCACCGAGCATTTCACTAATGCCACCTAACAAAAATTAAAAACTAGAACTAAAATAATGAAACTGCTTTCAAGTAACTTAACTGTGTTCATTAAAAAAAAAAAAGCTCAGGAGTACTTATCAAAAGACAAAATCATACAGCACCCAACAAGGCAAAATTTACAATATCTAGCACCCAATAAAAAACAATCCAATACAGAAAGATAAAAACTACAACACAAAGAGAAGATACATCATTCAAAGGAAATAAAAACACATTCGCAACCAATATTTGTACATAAATGTTCTTAGAAGGTTTATGGTAATAGTCCCCAAACTGGAAACAACCCAAAAACTCTATCAGCAGTTGAATAGATAAAAAGATTATGATATACACAAACAATAAAAAAAATTACTCAGCAAGAAAAAGTAATACTATATGCTACAGCATGGGTGAATCTCTATGCTAGGTAAAAGATGCTAGATTTAAAAAAAAAAAGAGTACTTATTGTGTGATTTCATTTATATAAAATTCTTGGAAATGCAGACTAATATATTGTGACTAAAAGCAAATTAATGCTTTCTGCAGGAGTGGGTGGGGAAGGGCAGGAAGGAAAGATCACAAAGGGGTATAAAGAAACCTTTGAGGTGATGGATATATTGTCTTGATTATGGTGATGGTTTTATAGGGATAGCGATATATCAAAGCTCCATACATTTTACATTTTAAATATGTACACCTTATTGTATATTAATTATATCTCAATAAAAGCTGCTAATAAATGAAAGAAATGAAGGAAAGTGAAGAAATATAAATATCCATTTCCTCAGTCAAACTTTCCATATTTGAAGAATTTAATGGTCACACATGACCAATGGCTACTGTAATGCTCAGATGTTACCACTATTTCCAAAACGTATTTTAGAAGCAACTATTCTAGGAAATTGAGTTTAGGTGCACTTAACTTTCCCTAGAAGTGAAGTTGCTGGATCAAAGAATATACTCGGTTAAAATTGACACATATTCCAAAATTTTCTACAGAAGAGTGCATCGATTTACACTTAACCATTAGCATCTTTTAAATCTTTGGAATTTTAGTCCATTTTTCCCCATTCTAGACAAGAAATAATATGATTTTGACTTTATTTGCACTTATTTGAATACTAACAAGATTAAACAACTTTTATATACTTACTTGTCTTTTATGACCTATTTGCTTACATTTAGTTTAGGAATTATTAGTATAACATGAGCATAAGTGCTAGAAAAAAACTTGTATTAACAGATTTGTTATATTATCTATTCTCATAGGGAGTAAAATCCTTTATTAAACTTCTAAAATTTTACCTCGTCCAAACAGTTGACACGAACATTCTTGCTGGATAATAATGTTCCAGCTTCTTGGACAGTACCTTAAAAAAAAACATGAAAAGTAGGGTTATTTAACATCAAGGAAATAAACTTTAAGAAGTTATCTGTAAAACTAAGACTAGTCAGGGTAGTTGCTAAGAAATGAAACATCCAATCACATACTATTTATTTTACAAAGTAATTGTCCAGTAGAATAGATTTATGGAAGCCAAAAATAGCTCCATCTTGTTTTTATTTTCACAGACCTTAAAGTATATTAAATTGGCCACATTTTCCTTTTGGCAGCAATACAATGACCACAAAGAATAAGACTTAATACTGAAAAAAATCTTAAAGGGCATCTAATCCAAATCACCATCTGAAGCTTAAATTCCACTCAATGTAATACTTGGAATTCAAAATGCAGTCAGTATTTATATAATCTGTCAGCACCATATCTTGTGAATTGAAGGCCTATTTATAATAGAATGCTTGGTTTTGAAAAAACTTAGGTGAAATGTATCTTTAATGCCTAGTACTATATAAAAGTGCTCTATGATCAGTACTCACCACCCTGAAAGTCATTTAATGTAAACCTGAAGGTCACTCCTCTGTACATTTGGAAATAAGCTATAATTGGGCCACAATTGTCAGGTTTTTCCAGTCTTCTATAAAGCATAATGACAGAAGCATACTTGCAGGAGAGAATGTTGCTATTATTATTAGTATAAGCCAGCCATACATTCTGCCAAGAAATTTCTGGTTTCACTGGGAAGAGAACAATGAAATTGAATGTGCTCAGGAAAAAAGGCTGAGATAAGCCTCTCCTATAAAAGAACATAAAAGAATAGATGAATCTCCCAACCAGGTTATTTCCTCTCTTTAAATTTAGACTTGTAGTGTGAGAATGTGCTAAATTCTACTAGCCTTCTAAAGTTAAAGGTGGAATGCAAAATAAAGATTAGCATGCTTCTTTCTCTCTGACCCACTTCTTAAGTAAGTCACCTGAGTTCCCCTCACCAACAGAGGAGAAAAAGAAATGTCTCCTAGAGAGACAGAGAAATAGCTCTGTTGGGAAAATGTCAAGTGAATGATCTACATGTCCCTGGAGTATGATGACAGCTATTTTTTATAAATAGTGCATTTTTCTGACCCTGTATTCCATCTGAAAGCAGTTAGTATCACTGGCTGAATGGTTATGAGAAGGCAAAAAGCTTTTGTGTGAAAAAAAAAAAAAGCATGCAAGCCAGTTCTTTATGAAACCTTATTCATACCTGTGGCTTCTCATCAGAGACTTTCTCAAAAATCTTTATAGAAGAATGAAACCAGAGCAAAAAACCCTGTACCCCAGTTTCACTTGAGGAAGATGCTTCATCCAAATCCCATTCTCCACTGAGAACCAAAGCTATTTTCTATCTGCCCAGGAGATGTTTCTGCAGGAAAGGGAGAATACTATGGGAAGAAGGCAAGAGCATGTCAAGGCCTGCTACACGTAAACAGTAGAATGGGAATTAAGATCATAAACATTTGGCTCTCATTAGAGAACAAGCTGATAATTCTCTAAGATGTTTGCCCAATAGCCAACAATCTAAGTTAACATATTCTGTAAGGGAACAATATATTTTAAAGACGATGCATGTATAATAGAAAACAAACAGTTTTCTCCTACTAAACTCTCACTCAATAGTCTCAGTCCTTCACTTCTGACACCAGATATATGGGGGTCTCCTCCATATACACCAAGCAATTCTCCACTGGACACTAATGGGGTTCCTATAATTTAACTCACTTCTAACACTGTTTACCAGAAGTTAGAGTTAGATCTCCTAGGTCAAGGGCTCAGTTCACAAGACTGTCCCCACTTCAGATGCCAATCATAACCCCCTGTGCTTCTGACTGGCTGTAAGTCAGGGTTCCCATGATCCCCTCCTCAGATTCCATAATTTGCTAGGACAGCTCACAGAACTCAGGGAAACACTACTTACATTTACCCATCAACTGCAAAAAATATTACAAAGGGTCAGATGAACAGCCAGATGGAAGAAGGGCAAAGAGCAAGGTATGTGGCACGGGACACGGAGATTCCACACTCTCCAGGCACTCTTTCTTCCAAGAACTTCCATGAGTTCAGCAATCTGGAAGCTCTCTGCAATCTATAGTTCAGCAATATTTATGCAAGCTTCCTCACATAGATGTTATCTATTATTAAGTCAGTCTTCAGCTCCTCTCCCTTTCCTAAAGATGCAGGGGAGGGGTAGAGTTGAAAGTTTGAACTTTCTAATCATGGCTTGGACTTTCTCTTGACCAGACCCCATCCTGAAGCTATCCAACAGTCACCTCATTAGAACAAAAGACATTCCTAACACCCAGGAAATTCCAAGGGATTAGGAACTCTGTGTCAGGAACCAGGGTCAACGACCAAACATGAGAAGAAAAGATTCACCTAGCACCTCTATTGCTCAGGAGATTATAAGGGTTTTAGGAGCTGTGCCTTAGGAGCCAGGGGCAGAGACCAAATAGATATTTCTTATTACATTACACATGTACACACACACACACAATCACACACACGCCACTCAACAGGTTAAGGTTAGCCTTTTGAAATGCAGGGACCCAAATGAGAAAAATAATCTGAAACAGATTGGGCTTCTAGAGAATAAAAATAGATTCGGAACACGGATGAGCAAAACACTCCAAGAGGAAAAAGTGTCATGATTTCCAATTTGGTGTTCACAATGTAATGACATTAGTTGGAAATTATAGAAAGTCCAGAATAGCATAGAAATGTGAAACACATGGCTCACACAGAAGGATTTTTTACTTTATGTCATTCCTACTGTCCATAGTAGACTTAAAAAATATTTTACAAGTAAGTTTAAAAGATTAATTGCTTTATTCTGGGAAAGAAATACGTAAAATCTGATTTTACAAACTGCTGGGGGTGGAAGATAGAGTACTCTAAGAAGGAATGTGCAAGGAGCCAACATTTACCTTCACTGGAGATAAGAAACAACAGACCTCAACTAATGAAATAATTAGTGATTTATTTCCCTTTAGAGAATTTCTCCAATTGCTCAAAACAAAGAAGAAAATACAGCACAACCTGCCTCATTCGGGTGGGACTGATCACTTTATCTGGATGAACAAGCATTTTAGGAGAGAAGAAATTGTATACATAATATTTTCCCAGTATGGACAACATACTGAGACCCTACCTCTACAAAAAAATCTCTGAAAAATCAGCCAGGCGTGGTGGCATGCACCTGTAGTCCCAGCTACTCAGGAGGTTGAGGAAGGAAGATTGCTTGAGACCAGGAGGTCAAGGCTGTAGTGAGCTATCGTCATGCCACTGTACTCCAGCTGGGTCAACAAAACGAGACCCTGTCTCAAAAAAAATGATATTCTTAGTGTTGCTGCTCTCTTCTACCACATGACAGCTCTTTCAGGAATACTATAAAGTGGAACAAGTTCTGTAAAACTTGGCCGGGCAGGGTGGCTCATGCCTATAATCCCAGCACATTGGGAGGTCAAGGCAGGTGGATTACCTGAGGTCAGGAGTTCAAGACCAGCCTGGCCAACATGGTGAAACCTGTCCCTACTGAAAAAGAAATACAAAAATTAGCTGGGTGTAGTGGTGCGTGCTTGTAATCCCAGCTATTCAGGAGGTTGAGACTGGAGAATTGTTTGAACCCAGGAGGTGGAGGTTACAGTGAGCAGAGATTGCACCACTGCACTCCAGCCTGGACAACAGAGCGAGACTCCATCTCAAAAAAATAAGTAAGTAAATAAATAAATAAATAGACCTGCAAAACTCTGTTTCCTTATCTATGAAACAAGGACAATAGTATCCATCCATAGTTATCTGAAGAGTACTGGGGACTTGTCCTAAGCTGGAGCACATACATATAAGCCTTTATTATATCTTCTTTTTATTTTATATTCAGAGGAGCACAGTATAATTCATAACATTTCCAATATCCAGATAGGGAACACGGGTCTCTACCGAAGACAAGCAGATATAGCCAAAACAAACACAACAGGAGAAACAAACATTCTGTTTTCAGCAATTCATCACACAACAATGAGATTCAAATAAGTATAAATTTTAATCATTGTTTATTATTATTACTTTAATTTTTTATAGATCTAAGTCCTTGCTCCATAGTCCAGGCCCGAGTACAGAGGCATGAACATGGCTCACTGCAGCCTTGAATTGCTGGGTTCAAGCAATCCTCCTGCCTCAGTCTCCTGAGTAGCTAGGACTATAGGTCCATGCCACTGTACCCAGCTAAATTTTACATTTTTTGTAAAAATGGGGTCTCACTATGTTGAGACCCTGACTGGTCACAAACTCATGGGTTCAAGTGATCCTCCTGCCTTTGCCTCCCAAAGCACAGAAGGGTCACTCCATAGATTCAGCCACTGTGCCCAGCTGGATCTCAATCATTATTTATTGGAATCCACAAATATGGATATTTTTAAAACTATATAATCAAGTTAAGGATTTAGAAATCACTTTAGCTTTGTTAGTTGTTACAGTGCTTAGTACTTACATATAAAAATCATGTAAAAATGTTTAAAGTGCCTTAATTTTAAAACAACATATGGATATAAATTTTGATATAATCATAGATCTGAAGCTGTAAATATATTTTAAAAGTGGAGACTTCTTTTTTTTTTAGACGGAGTATCGCTCTTGTTACCCAGGCTGGAGCGCAATGGCGCTATCTCAGCTCACCGCAACCTCCTCCTCCCGAGTTCAAGCAATTCCGCCTCAGCCTCCTGAGTAGCTGGGACTACAGGCACGCGCCACCAAGCCCAGTTAATTTTTTTGTATTTTCAGTAAAGACGGGGTTTCACCATGTTGACCAGGATGGTCTCAATCTCTTGACCTCGTAATCCACCCACCTCGGCCTCCCAAAGTGCTGGGATTACAGGCGTGAGCCACCTAATTATAACATGTATTTTTAAATAGTGACTTTGTGTGATGTTTCTAAAAGGTCTTCTCCTCATATCTATTTTTAGACTTTGTAACAAAATGATCTTAAATTAGTATTACAGAGCTTGGTATAACATTGAGAGTTTCTAAAAGAGCTACTGTTGTGAAAATCAAGATAATAAAGCCCATATAGGTTGCATAACCTGTCTGGCCATACAACTAATGGTAACCATATATTTTAAGTTAACTTTTTCTTTGAACTCTGTACTATAATTGGTTATAAGCAGACTTGAATGTTTCTCAACCATAAAGTCACTAGAAGTATTATTAACTGCATAGGACCTTAGAACAGGATCTTACTTCAATAGTCCCAAATTGGAAACAACAATTGTAATAGTATATCCTTCCAGTGGAAATGAAAGAAGAAAATAAGCTACATACTACTGGTACACACAATACAAAGGAACCTCAAAATCATAATGTTGAATGAAAGAAGCCAGGTACCCCCCTCAAAAAGAGGATACTTATTGTACGATTCCACTAATATAAAATTCTGGAATAGAATCTAATCAAGAGGCAGATATCTGTTAGTGATTGCCTGCAGATGAGGGGGAAGGTAGTCACAGATTACAAAGAGGCATAAGGACTTTTTGGGGTTGATAGAGATGTTCATTACGTTGATCTTAGTGATGGTTTCACAGACATATGTTCAAATCAAAACTGATTTAAAAAATGTGTACCTTAATATGTGCAATTTATTGCATCTCAATAAAGTAGGTAAGAAAACCTCTATTGTCCAAACCTGTTTCATAGCTTCTTTTACACAGATATGATTTAAAAAATAGGAAATATATCACTTTCTTGTTAGCAACAGTGAGCTCAGGAATTTCAGGTACTAAATAAGTAATGGGAAAATCATCTAGTTCATAGCCTTGGAAAAGGTTTAATTGGCTGGGCGTGGTGGCTCACGCCTGTAATCCAAGCACTTTGGAGGCCAAAGTGGGCGGATCACCTGAGGTCAGGAGTTCAAGACCAGCCTGACTAACATGGCAAAACCCAGTCTTTAAAAAAAAAAAAAGGTTTAATTTATTTCACAATAGTGCTTGCTCAGATATTAATGAAAAAGGTATCAAAGCTTAGAAGAATGGGTCACTCTACTCTTATGTAATATAAGCCAATTAAACACAGTTCGGTGATTTCAATTTTCTCTTACATATTGTTAAATGAATGCTGTCATTAACTATTAAATGAGTACGTTGGAAACATATTTTTATTTTCATCTGGAACTTCTTGGCATTCTAATAAATAAAACGTCCCATTTATAGTCTGCTAATTTCTGGAGAGCAGTGGCTGGCAGGTGGGGAATCACTTAAATATTTGCCAAGTTCATTTTAGATTGTTCAAGATGCCAGGCCAGATTTTGCTGAAAAGTTACTGTTAGTTCAAAGTACTAGAACTTATTGTCTAGTCTAGAGTTTTTCAAAGTTGAAAAATGTATGAAAGCAAACAAAACAAAACAAAACAAAAAAAAACCCTCACTTCACCCACTTTTTAAAAAAATGCTTGGGAGGCCAAGCTGGGCAGATCACCTGAGGTCAGGAGTTCAAGACTAGCCTGGCCAACATAGTGAAACCTGGTCACTACTAAAAGTACAAAAATTAGCCCAGTGTGGTGGCAGGTGCCTATAATCTCAGGAGGCTGAAGCAGGAGAATCACTTGAACCCAGGAGGTGGAGGCTGCAGTAAGCTGAGATCACGCCTCTGCACTCCAGCCTGGGAGACAAGCACGAAACTGTCTCAAAAAAAAAAAATAAAATAAAAAATAAAATAAAAGAAAGAAAAGAAAAAAAAGGCTATTTTTGGCAGAAATATAAACTTTGCTTATGATTTTTCTTCAACTATAAAATAAAAATTTATTTTATATTTAATGCACACAAAACTACAAAATCAGTAACATTTAAAACTGAGATAACTTGACAGATGCTGTTTTGGTAAACCTAAATGACCTCTCAGAGTGAATACTGTATGGACTGCTATGGTGCTGGTTTCACATTTCATTTAGTTTGCTTTTAAGTACAGCCTATTTACTGCCCTGTGATACTTCTGCTCTGCCACTCACCTATTTGATACTGTTTCCTAACTCCCCAGGTTCCTCAGTTTCCTTGCCTATAAAGTGAAGATTACCAAATTTATCTCAAACACAAGCAGTGCTTTAAATGCTTTAACTATACTAACTCCTTTCATCCTTATAACAACGTTGGGAGGTGGGTATTATTATTATTCCCATTTTTCACATGGAGGACTTGAGGCTGAGGAAAAGTCACTTGCCCAAAGGCCACATCACCAGTAAATGAGTTAGAATTTCAAACATGGCCTGCATGGTTAACCACTATCCCATGCTGTCTCTCATATTGTTATAGCTTAAAACTAATTCCTAGCTCATCAAAATTAAATGCATTAATATGTTTAAAATACTTAAAATTATGTGTGGCTGGCGATAACAGTCAATAAATGTTGGCTATGGTTGTTCATCTCCTATCTCCCATTCTCCCATTACTTTTCTTTCTTTCTTTTTTTTTTTTTTTTTTAGATGGAGTGTCTCTCTTTCACCCAATCTGGAGTGCAGTGGCTCAGTCTCTGCTCACTGCTTTGGGTTCAAGCGATTCTCCAGCCTCAGCCTTCTGAGTAGCTGGGACTACAGGCATATACTACCACACCTGGCTAATTTTTTTTGTATTTTTAGTAGAGATTGGGTTTCACCGTGTTAGCCAACATGGTCTTGATCTCCTAACCTCATGATTTGCCCACCTCAGCATCCCAAAGTGCTGGAATTACAGACATGAGCCACCGTGCCTGGCCCATTACTCTTCTTTGTGAGTGCAAGTGATATCCCACAGACCTTCATTTGACAAGAAGGCATCACATTCTAGGTCCACATCAGTTCTTTTCTCAATGGCGTGGGCCAATTAAAGCAATGAAAGCATCAATGCACTCATGAAACTTGATGTACCATGTGAGCTCAGAAATCTCACAGCACTAACCAGAATAAATGCACATTCATTCAAGTTTATATAATCTTTGAAATAAAAACTGGTGGACTCCTGAGAATGTATCCAAGGAATCCCTTCTCCCCTGTCAGAGACTCAATTTATAAAACTGCTCACTATTTTCCACTTTTAAGAGCACTCATGATGGGCCAGGCCCAGTGGTTCATGCCTGTAATCTCAGCACTTAGGGAAGCTGAGGCAGAGGATCACTTGAGTCCAGGAGTTCAAGACGAGCCTGGGCAACATAGGGAGACCTCCATCTCTACAAAAAAAAAAAAAGAAAAGTTTTAAAGTTGCCAGGCATGGTGGCTCACACCTGTAGTCCCAGCTACTAGGGAGGTGGAGGCTGCAAAGAGCTGCAACTCCAGCCTGGGTGAAGAGCAAGATCCTGTCTCAAACAATGAAACAAAAGAGAGAGGGAGAGAAAAAAAAGAGAGGACATGTACTAGCTCTGTCAGGTTTAAAAGAATTTTTGTCCCTGGTGGACTGTGAATTGATCATTTGTCTCCTTTGTGCCCAACACAGTACCTGGAACACAGCGAGAACTTGCATGTTTGCTTAAATGAACGCCGGAGCCATCAAAGGCAGGGAGAAATTACCCAGAGACAGGAAGAACTGAAAGACTGAAATGTCAAATAGGTCAGAGAGGACCATGTAGTGCAACAATAAAAACTCTAACCCGAATCCCCAAATTCCATGCAAAGAACACATTATTGATAAATTGATTGATTTAGAATAGTTGAGATCTGATCCGGTGGGCTCAGCTCATCAGCACCTGTTGAGTTCAAACCTGAATTTTTTCTCCTTGAGTTTCCTTGTTTCTATGAAGAATAAGTCTGCCTTGTTGTCTAGGATTCCACATTTTGGCCTGGCTACTAAGTAAATAAAATTGGAAACTAGGAAGCCTTATGCTACAAAGACTGGAACCTCTGCCATTCGAGGGCAGACATGGCTATATTATTATTGCGTTTAAAATCACCACATTAATTATGCCCGCAGTCCCAGGCATCCCCAGCCCCGCGCCGTGAGAGTGCAGGAGAAGCATGCAGTCACGCTGATGTCACCTGCCAGGTAACGGGACTCGGCAGGGAACTCCTCTGGGACGTCCACTCGGGGACTTCGGGAAAATATGGCTTCTGGCTCCTCTTTGGGGCTCCCTGCCGGGACTCTGTGAGCGGAAGTGGGGCACGCATCGGGAGAGTGGATGAGAAAGCACGGAGGAGCACAATGAGAAGGTCGCTGCTGTGCAACGTGGGCCGAGGGGTGGGTGTGGACGCCTCGCCAATTTCCTCGTCTCTCTAGGGTTCCTGCGGCTGTGGGGGCTTATGGAAGCCAGGGAGGCTCTGGATGCGGAAGTCTCAATGCACCAAATTACAGACCTAGTTCTGTGCCCTTATAAAGAACCCCTCTCCCTAAGGGCGCCCTACACTCCCAAGCGGGGGCGGGGCGCAGCAAAGTATCCAGATCATTCGGTCTGCGGAAGTCTAAAGGGCGCTTTAGACACCCGCCTAAGAACCTGAAACCACCAGGACCCACCGTGGTCAAAATCCCCGGGGAGCAGTGAAGAAGGCACACACTGGGGCCCAAGCCCCGGGACACTCGCATTAATCTAAGGTTGGGCGTGGAAATCCGTACGTTTCCGAAAGCGGATTTAGAGGCCGAGCCTCTGTAACCTCTCTTGTCCCAGCACTGCTTCTACCTCCCCTCTCTGACCCACAACCCGTCCCGGACCAAAGGGAGAAACGCTCTTTCCCGGTTCCAGGCTGCCAACCTTGCAGAACCGCAGCCAAAGGCCACTCAGGCCAGGGGCGCCCCCCGGGCTCCGCCACGCCCCCCGGTCAGGCCCGCAGCGTCCGCGTCGCAGCCCAGCACCCATACCTTTCCCGATGACTTCCAGCAGCTCCTTCTCCTCCTGGGTCAGCTCGCCTTTCTTTATGTGAACCATTGGTCCCGCCAGCTTGAAGGTTATTCCGTGTCTTAGGAAGTATTAAAAAAGAAATGATGCGTCTGTATTGGGAACGCCTGCCGCAAAGAGGCAAGTTGAGACCAAGACACTGAGTGCCAACCGCGGAAGCGCTCCGCTTCTCTCCTGCCTCCAGCAGGCTAGCGGACAGCGGGCGAGCTCGGGCGAGCCGAGCGGGCGGTCTCTGCAGGCCTCGCGGCAGTCACCGCCCGCCGCCTGTCATTGGGCCGGCCGAGGAGGAGGAGCCGCAGGAGGCGGCAGCGAGAGACCGCCATTGGAGCAACCTGGGAGGGAAAAACCAAATGCAGAAACCCGGAGGGGGGAATTAAATTCCTCCTACACGTTCCGCACCCCTATCCTGTCCGCTTCAAATATTTGGCCACGTGTAGTATTGAATAATTTCCTAGATATTGGTTCTGTGTTCAACGACGGCTTTCTGGGGCGTGCAGAGACCCCCGGTTGTCGCCGTATCCCCACCATGCCCCCAGGAGTGGCGTGGTCCGGGTGGGGGCGGGCTGGGAGGCGGGGGCGGTGCGGGAGGCGGGACTGCGCCGGGTTCCGTGTGTCTATGTCAATGTGTCTGTCCTTCACTCCTCCATTGTCTGCCGCCGCTGCTGCCGCTGCCGTCGTTGCCGCTGCACGAATCGCCGCAGCCGCCAGCCTTGCGCGTCGTCGCTACCTCCTCGGACAGGTGAGAAGCTGCCTAGGTGAGGCTGGGGGTGCCGGGAGGGTTGCGAGAGCCGCGACTGCCGCCCCTCAGGGGCTTCCACCGGGCCGGAGCTGGCGGGGAGGAATCGTGTGCCTCCTGGGGCGGCTTCCTGCGTCTCGGAGAAGCCCTCGCTTCACCTCATCATCACCGCGCGCACGGGGTATCAGTGCCCCAGGATGGAGATGAAGACCTTAGACTCGTCTCGTTTGGCCGTCCCGGGAGACCCTGGGACCGCGGGCCGGCGGGCGGGGGCCAGCCACGCGGTGAGAAGTGGCGGGTGCACATGGTCTCGTGCGTGGCACCGCCAGACGCGGCTCCCGGGCAGGCTGGGGCGGGGGCTTGGGCTAGGGGTGGGGAGGAGAGCGCCCCGTTAGGAGCGAGTGAGTGCCTGATGAGAATAGACTTGGGAGACGATAGTTTTTTTGCTGATGATCCTCGCCCTCCCCACCACTTGTCATCTCCTTGGCCTCTGTGGAAGCTGTGTAAGAAAACCGGACCTGATGGCCCTATGTTGCCTGTTAAGGATGTTTAGAAACAATTTACACTTGCACTAATACTTCGTTTATGAGAGACAACCTGAGGGAGGGGGAGGGAAAGGCCTCTTTGCTCTGCTAGAGTTCTCAGTTCCCTTTGTAACTCAGATCTTGAGATTTATGGAAATAGGGAGTGGAGGGTGGGGAGGTTGGAGAGGGCGGAGATTAAATTGGTGTTGCTGCCTATATATAGTCTTAGATTAGCCTTTTAATCCAACCTTCATTCAAGTGTAATATGTAGAGCTTCGACTATACGTAGATGGGGGTAAATACAAGTGTGTATTTAGAAAGAAGACTTGCTTGCTAAAATGTGGGAATCAGTCATTTCTCCAGGGTGCACGTTTATATTTACATCATCAATGAAAGTTTCTTTGCAAATTAGTGTTTATGTTTTACTATTGCTTCCCTACAGAGTAGTATTGATGTTTCTCTCAATATGTGTGTCAAAGAGACGTGTATGTGTCAAAGAGAAATATTTGAATAATTGTGTAGGTGTTTTTATTTTTTAAGCATCCCCAGGACCACTGTTTCTTCTCATAGTGCTATACAAAAAGTGAAAGGCATTTTCCTCTGGCCTTAGGCATTCATTTTGCGTGAAGCTTTCACTAATACATCTGAAATCTCCTGGAATATGTTTATCATTATTTCCTGCCTTTAGCAAAAATCTTTCCTAAACTCCAGCTGTTTTCCCCCCTCTAAACTGGGGCAGATCTGAGCCAGCACATCTTACATGAAAATGGTTTGAAATTATTCATCTCAGTGTATAACAAAGATACTTTTGTTGGATGATGCTTTAATAATGATGTGGCTGTTCAAACAAGAGTAAGGCTTTTCTGAGAGTGACCAATCTTTTGTAATGCGGTTAGTGCCAGAGTTACTTGATTTATAACATAGTATCATGCAGAAGAAACCCACAAACCTAAAAAAATGCTTGAGTAGTAACCTCCTGGAACATGTGATTTAGCATCTTACCAGCAGATGCGTACACAGAATTGGGTACTTCATTGCTAGTATTTCCATCTCTTGTGCCAAATCTGGGCCATGGTTACTTGAAGGTCACACCTGTTTGTCTCACTGGGGTTGTCAGTTCCTCGAGGAGAGCAGCTTACTATCTGTTTTCTTAATGCCGTATGACACCTGCTTGGTAGTTAGTTCTCTCTAAATACGTGGCCAGTGAATTTAGGGACAATAACATTTGAAGAGAATCTAACAACTACCTAGAAATGCAGATAGATCATGTTGAGTTTATATTTCTAGAAACAGATGCCTAATGGGCACTGTTCATTAGATGGATTGATTACATTAGTAGTTTTGTACAGTGTAAATTTTTAATGTAGGAATAAGATAATGAGCATAGTAAAATAGATTCACATCAAAGAAGTTTTATTGATAGTAAAATAGCTACTGCATATTGAGTATTTAGTTTGCTAGATATTCTACTAGATGCTTTGCATAGAATTATTTTAGTGTTATGACAACCCAGGAATTAGCCAGTATTGTCTCCATTTCTGCAAATAAGAGGACAAAAATGAAGGGAAATAATTTGCCCACAATCCCATATTAGGAATGTCAGAGCCAGAATTGGAATAATGATTTCTGAAATGTTTGAAATGTTGTATGTGTCCTCTCATATCTTTTTCTACTACTAGCACTCTAGACCTATTGCAGTACATCTTAAATAGCCTGCTTCTCTCCCACCTGTCTCCTTCTAGCTAATTCAGGGAACTACCAGTTCAATAAACATTGAGCACCTGTCATCTTGTGAATGGCTCTCTCCTCTGGCCACAGAATAGAGGACTAGATCTGTCCTGGAAGGTTCCAGTCCACCAGTGGTCTCAGCAGGCATTTCTAGTCATCTGGGCCTTCCCATACACCGGGCTCTAAGGTCACCACTCTGCTTGTTCCCCAACCTGCCAGTAATTTCCACCGCTTTGTTCCTGCTTTTCTCCTCCTGGAATGACTTCCCTTCCCTTTTCACTGAATCTCCTCTCCAGATCTGATGAACTATTCAACTTTCCAGACACAATTTAAACAAAACCTCTTTTATTGAGCTTTCATATTCATCTCCCCCTCTCTATCCAGTAAGGGAAATATACATGCTAGTAAATACATTTATTCATGTCTCTTGGCAAGGGTTATAAGTAAAATCTTTGTATGGAGGATATTGATATGCAACATGGCTGCTGGTATCATGACTGGCAGCCTTTAGTTCTCTCTTCTTATGGATTCTAGCAACCCCTTTTACTGCTTCCACCCCCTTCACCAGCTAAATTGACATTGCTTCTTCATCTGGATCTCTGTGAAAATAACTAAAGCCAGCACTTTCTCATCACATTCTATTATAGTTATTATTATTAATCTGTTTGGTCTCTTCTCATCCTAGAATATACATTAACTAGGTCAAAATTATCTTTGTTTCTCAAGATTTAACCCAATGTCTTGCACTTAGTGTATGCTCAGTACCAGCTGGGTTGAATTCAGTTTGATCTCTACGTTATTTTAGGTGGATTTGTTTTCCTACTTGACTAATCCTTCCTGGCAATGTGAGGTGAGGTGGCACTAAGCACACACAATCATAACCAGAGGCAAAAAGTCTTTAAATGTTTTGGATCTCAAGCTTCTTGACATTCTGATGAATGCTATCAACCAAGAAAAATTGTTCCTATGCATATGTTAGAAATTTGGCATGCCATTCCTAGATTTACCTCATTGAAGCCCCTGATCTCCAGCTCTCTACATTAAGAAAATGTTGCCTTTTTATTGCATTTTTGAGTATTACATCTTTCAGAGTACTGGGGTTTTCTTGACATTTGACGTTTTCTCTTATACTTAGGTATATTTCTTGACTGGATATTTGATAATATTAAGAAATTGTAATTTTGTTTAAGGTTTGAAGTCGATTATGGTTATATTTTTTAAAAGATTACTTATCTTTTAGAGATAGGAACTGAATTATTTCAGAACTGGATGATAAGACATCTGAGATTTGCTTTAATATAATTCTGTGACAGAAAGGAAGAGAGACTGAATGAGAATATAGATGAGATAAAATTGACTATGTTAACAGTTGAAGATGGGTGATGAGTACATTTGCTTGATTATACTGTTCACTCTACTTTTGGATATATTTGAGATTTTTCATAATGAAGTTTTTAAAAAGAAAATTTGGAAGTATTACAGCCTCTAAGAATTTTTTTTTAACACAACATAAGAAAGTAATATGAATACAAATGTTCTTTTTTCTATACTTGGAGTTTCGCTTATGTGATTATTCATTTAAGTGTTAAAGCAGTTACACCTAAATCTGCAAAGAACTGTCTTGTGAACAATGCATTTCCATAAACATTTCATAGCACATTTTAACTTCTCCACAAAACTAAAAGCTTGGTGGCATTACTCAGTGACTGTGGAACAAATTGATGAATATCTTACCAGTAGTTAATCTTCATCTTTTTTGAAAATTGACAAAGTAATTTACAGAAAATTCTGAAGAAGGGGTACAGATATATTTAGTTTGATAAAATCAACTTGTGAATGAAGTAGAGATACTGATTTTCTTTGATGCCTCATAATCCAACTTAGAAGGCATTCCAAAAAAGGGAGTACCAGAACTGTTTCGAGCAATATCAGCACTGTTAGGATAAGTATATTAGTCTAGGAAAATCAGGCGCAGGCCCAGGATAAGGTGTGACTGGTGGGTTCTTACTCAGTGTTTACTTGGCTGAATACTTCCTCGGACACCTACTTTCTGATTCGTGCAATTTTCTACACTTATTTTTTGATGTTTAAATTTTTTGTCTTGATTGCTAGATATATGAAGTGTCATTTATAACATGTCATCCTAGACTTTGGGATTTTTAAAAGAATGCTTAATTAATATGAAATCCACAAATATTAGCGGGTCATAAACAAGAATACTTTTCATTCTTAACTCAATCTGATGTCTGTGTATTGAGGCTGTGGTGCTCTTTAGCAAAT